AAAATGCATGTTATGTAAATCCCCCGTATCTCCGATAAGCATGATTGAATACGTACGGTGCAAAAGAAGTTCAAAATACATATATAAATGTTGGTGTTTGTGACAAAAGTAAATTGATGAGCTGTAGTGATCGAATACTCACTCAGCCACTGCAAAACTAACTGCAATGCCAGGCCGTGAAGGAAGAACCCGTGAAATAAGTTGTAGCCCTGTCGAATTCAGGTGGTCTCTCACACTCTGTTAGTGGTATTAAACGAATCCTGGCCTTGCCCTACGCCACTCCAGACTTAACACCCCCCCCCCCCCCGGAGTCCTTTGAATTCCGCGAATGCCAAGGCTGGCTTCAGGAGACTCGGGAAATAGAGTTGGATTGCTAGGAATTGCGAGTGTGCCTCAGTGGACCTCGATAAACTCCCACAAATAAGATGATTACATTTTCTCTCATTGCTATCACGCTGCATTGTGCAAAATGCAAAAATATTATCGGCATTTTTGAAGAACTGCATTGTGGTCCGCTTGCCTTAGGTCACCATCACAATCGATTTGAGTGAATGTGACCGACTGACTGACAGCAGTGAGACAGATATACTTCTGTGGGCCGGTGTCGTCCTTATTAGGACTCATCTGTACGGTACAGTCACCAATGCTCACTACTGTGAAGTCTGCCTCTGGGAACCGTCTTTGTAGAGTACCCCCTTCTACAAAGTGGGGCCCATTAACCTGGCTGATTACAACAACAATCAACGTCTGATCTACTGCTGGATGAAGGCCTCCCCAAGCCCCCCCATAATCCTATCTTACTTTGGATTTATAGAGCGCCTTCTTTGCTCAAGGTGCTTAGCACAGTTTAGAAAACCGTACGATAAAATAATGATTTAGATGGCATGAGCTGTAACAAATTGTCAATTAATAACCGGTAGTGAACATTGCCAAACTCAAACTTTCAGCTGTGCGGCTAATGCTTGGGATTAGAATGTTTGGTATGTTTCTTGCAGACACGACATTTTTCCCAACATGTTTTACAATCCATGAGCCAAGTTTAACACAGTTTGTCGTAAGCAAAGTCTACGGTAATTCATCAGTAATCACTTAAACTGAATGGATTTAAAAGCACAGATCAATGTAATCATTCAAATACTTTACACAGTGACAATGAAGTGAGAAAAATTATGTTTTAAAACGTTTGCATGTACATTTATATTGCAAGGTTTATAGTCAGGTTTATAGTCAGCAGCCATGATCAATCCACGGGTGGATGAAGGCCTCACCTATAGTACTATATATGTAGTAGTATTACTTCTACATATGTAGTACTACTATATGTAGTATACACTAAGCGTACATGTTTGTACCCTGCATGTAGTCGCATTCTTCTATATAAGGGCGACAGGGTGGTTGAGTGGTGACGCCTGTGCCTCACAGCAAGGAGGGCCTGGGTTTGATTCCCAACTTGGGCGCCTTCCTTTGTGAAGTTTGTATTTTCTCCTCTTGCTCTGCATCGGTCTCCTCTGAGTTTTCTGATTTCGCCCCATAGCTAAAAAAAATCGTAATTATAACATGTAACTAGCATTAGTCAGAGATCCAAATGCTGAAAAATCAACCTGCAAATTACACAATTGGGTTCACACAGCAGCGATATCGCCCCCCCCACCCCCCTACTGCCAACAGCTGTCCAGACCCTCCTGAAAAAGACTTGACGAGGCTTGCGTGGGTCAACAAGCGGAGTACCGATCATGAATTCGGCTCCTGTGTATTCCATCCCTCCGAGCGTAAATCTCGCTACGTTTCTGCGCCGCACGATCAGCGCCAGTGCCGATACTTCGCGGCGAGGTCAATAAAACAATTCGCCTGTTCTTCGACAAAGTCGACGCATCGTGTCGGCGAAGCTGTGCCATGTGGCGGTCACGGGCAACGCGTGTGGTGGTCATGGGCAACACGTTTGGCGGTCACGGGTAACGCGTGTGGCGGTCACGGGCAACGCGTGTGCATCGTGTCGACACGTGTGGCGGTCACGGGCAACGCGTGTGGCGGTCACGGGCAACGCGTGTTGCGGTCACGGGTAACGCGTGTGCATCGTGTCGACACGGCCACATCTACACAGCGCCGAAGGATGCGTGAAGCCTACTTGCGTTGAGTCCCGTAGCCACAGCTGCACACGTGTCCACTCCCCCCATGCATCGGAATGCCACTGAACAGGTATGGCGTGTGCACTGTAGAGCCTTCATCAACATCTCGTGTTGTGATTTTCATTTCGAATTGTCACGTCGTCCCACGGGGGGGTCGGCTATTAAGTCGGCGCCTAATCGCAGGATCCAGAACCCCGCCATCGCCGCAGGTTCCACCGGGCTCGCGAACCCTCTCGACCCACCGCCTGCTTTACATTCTCTCCGGCTTCCATCCGTGACCGGGTTGAGCTGGAAATTGCATCGGCGACGGCACAGCCGGCATTGTGAGCAGGTGACGCTTGCACGTCCCGGGTCTGCCGTCGTTGCGCGCACACTCAGATCTTTCTACAGAGGAGGTCCCATTGACCATTTTCTTGTTACCGAAACCTTTTTTTTAACTCTCGTGAACGCTTCGAAGTGAAACATTTTGTTTAATGCATTCACGCACTCACCGCGCAAACTCCGGGGTGAGTGCACATCGAGATTTACAGCTCCACTGCTGGATGAGGGCTTCCCCGTGCCGCGGCCGGGGTCGTGGTGGAGGAGACGGTCGACCGTCGCTTCAGCACGCTGGACAGGGCGCGTTGGTGAATGTGGGGAGCATAGCCGTGGCGCCATAGTACGGTACAACACGGAGCCGCCTGTGGCGACCGGCTGTGTGTGCGCGCTGTTCGCCCATTCAAGCCAAATGCAGGCCAAAACCTGCTGAGCTTCCGAGGTCTGACGAGTCACGGGTCACACCGAGTTAGGTGGATGTAAGAAAACTCAGGTACTGGGGGAGACAACATCGTGTGCGAGATGCACAGCCAGCCGCTTGACAATTGATTCCTCATTCTCCAGAAAATATTGCATTATTCCGGTTGTTTCGTGTGTGTGTGTACGTGGTTCACGTGAGATGTGCCCTGCTAACTTTGTGGGTCACACTCCCTGCCAGTCCCACACTGGCTCGTAACGATGGGCCCCTCGCTGCGTCACTTGACCGCCCTCTCTTGTAAAAGTCGTCAGGCGCAGCGTGCCGTGGTGCTGTGGACCGGGAGGTCGGGGATTCGTTGTTTGCGGTGCGGACGATGTTTTGACGGCTAGTTTGTATCGGTTTATAACGACTGGCGGTGTCGCCGTCAACCCGGGGCAGCGTGTTCACGGTGTACAGTGCGCAGGGGATTCCTGTGTACAGTGCGCAGGGGGTTCCTGTGTACAGTACGCAGGGGACTCCTGTGTACAGTACGCAGGGGGTCCTGTGTACAGTAAGGACGCAGGGGATTCCTGTGTACAGTACGCAGGGGATTCCTGTTTACAGTGCGCAGGGGGTTCTGTGTACAGCACGCAGGGGATTCCTGTGTACAGTACGCAGGGGATTCCTGTGTACAGTACGCAGGGGATTCCTGTGTACAGTGCGCAGGGGATTATTCCTGTGTACAGTGCGCAGGGGGTTATTCCTGTGTACAGTGCGCAGGGGATTCCTGTGTACAGTACGCAGGGGATTCCTGTGTACAGTGCGCAGGGGATTCCTGTGTACAGTACGCAGGGGATTCCTGTGTACAGTGCGCAGGGGGTTCCTGTGTACAGTGCGCAGGGGATTCCTGTGTACAGTACGCAGGGGATTCCTGTGTACAGTGCGCAAGGGGTTCCTGTGGGGTTAAACGGGATCTGTGTCGCCGCGTGGTGGGCGAAGTGACGCCGTGCGTAGCGCACCGCACTTTGAACCTGGCCACACCTGAGTTTGATTCCCAGGCACAGCTCACGTGCAGGGCCCTCCTCCTTCGCTAACCGGCGCTGTGACCAATGTGGTGAAGTATGGTCGAACAACCCCCCGCAGCGGGGAGGCCATTCAGCAGTGGATTCACAAAGAGCTGTAGACGAGGTGCTCCATTAGAGTGTCACAACACGGTGAGAGACGGTGAGTGTTTCTTTCCATATGAGCAGGAATGCCACTTCTGGATTTTACAAGGCTGCCATGTAATTACGCAAGCCAGCACATTGTTTACATTGTCTAGTGCATTTTTATTATTGGCATGCAGTTTAATGTTGTTCAAAAGATCCTTAACTTGGCAGGATAAAGATAACAAATGTTCAGTGGCTCCCTAGGGATGGGCGGGAGTCGTCTGCAATCCAGTCGACGTGCAGCCAAGCCACGCGTGCCTCATGCAGCCCACGGTTGTTGTCTGCGCGACTGATTTATTGTCCCCCAAGTCGATTAGACTTCTTTACGACGCCTTCAATGCACCATGAGCTGAACCCCGAAACACTTTTATTATCCTCCGCCAAACTTTTGTTTAACGTAGCCTGCTGCGCGCTAGATGCGTGTACAACGTTTGTTACTTGGGCAGATAAAGATCCTCCACGTACCCATTAACAGACTGTAGGGGCAAGTGTTGTTAGGGAGGGTGGGTGGTCAGCACCACGCTCGGCCGCCTTTGTCTCCCCAGTGCTGATGGTTAAGTACTAGGCTAAGGCCAGGATCGCTTTAAATACTCACCACTGTTATTGGTCATGAGCCGGAATGGGGTCGTCGGATTCGCAGCACAATGCGCTGACCACGACGCTGCCGCTCCCCACTTGACGCCCGTGACTATTCGGGGTAAGCGCGGGTGTTTTAGTAACGCAATACTCATCAGTGACGTTTCAGAGACACGAAGCACCCTATATGTAAGCTTAAGGGACTTGTGTGGGCAGTCGTTTACACGACTTTGGAGACGAGTCGGCGTCGCGAGCGTCGCAGCGGCGAGCCCGTCCGCTCGCGAGCCACGGCGTTGCACGGGGTCACCGGCCTGCGTGGCGATGCCCGGAGCTCTGCCGTTGCGCCTCGATTCACGAGGGGGAACGATTGTGTCGCAGTTCATGGCCGACTACGTGGGCGAGGCGGGGTTCGTGAGGCGGGCCGGCCTCGACGGACTGTGCAACCGCGACAAGGCGGCCGAGGTGTCGCGCCTGCTGGCCGTGGTGGCGGCCTGCCAGCGGGGCCTGCTGGCGTCACGGGGCCCGGACGCCGACCCCTCCTCGCCGCGGTCGCTCGCCGCCTCCCCGCCCGCGAACCCAGCGGGCTGCAAGTACGGCGAGCGCGGCCCCTCGCCTCTCCCTGCCTCGTGCATTCTCTGTCGTTTTCCACCCAACGCTATGCCGATTGCGCTGCAGGCAACGCGCCGCCACGGGACGGACGGATCCATTGGGAACGGCCCGTAGGGGTGGATATCAAAGAGCTACTTCTAAGACCTCTTCTTCAAGTTGCCACTGGTCCGCACGGTAGAGGAGAGTAACATTTTCCCACTGTGCGATATTTTCAGTACATGGGAATCAATCCAATATTTAATTATCATAGCTGCAATTTGGCAAAAGGAACCAAATTGAACGCTATGTTTGTGTTTTTACAATATGATAATATAACATTTTGACAACCAGACCTCATTAAATTTGGGACAAATGCATCGTTTCTGCACATGCGCGCGCACACACACAAAGACCCACATAGCCTTGAGAGACTGTTGGGGCAAGCACTGCTAGCGAGCACCGCTCCCCACACACACTCACATGTACATAGACGTGTGGGAAGTCTCTCCCTGTGCTAAGCGGAGCACCCTTCTCCGTTGTCCACGCAGGAACGGCAGGGCGGAGGCGGAAGCGACGGGGCTCTTGGCGGACCGAGTCAGGTGGGCTGAGGCTCCGGCCGACACCACCCGTCCACCACGCCCGCCTGCCGCTCCGCTGGCGCTTCCGGCCGATCGCCACGCCGGTGTTGGGCACTGATTGGGGTCTCTCGTAATGCTTAGGTCTCGGCTGTCGTCTGCTCTTAACGTCGATTATCTCGATCGCCGTTCGTCAGCCGCCGTCTGTCTGCACCTGCTTTACATTCGTTTCCATTTTAATCCTCATCTCGATCGGTCATTCATTATTTGTTGTCATTGACCGTTATAGCTCTGTCGTGAGATGCGTGGCCACGGATGGAGTCTGGGCGAGTCTAAGATAGAGATTGTTGACCAGGTCGTTTGCTCTGTAATGAGCTGAGCAGCCGCATCCACAGCCTTGCTCGTTGTCAGCTTTGACTTGCGAGACATTCCGTCTGATCTTTTGCAATGGTGACGGCAGTCTCCTCTCCGCTGTTTTAACACCACTCTAACTCCTGTTCCCCATGGACACACACGTACACACGTCCAATTTTCCACGAATTATTTTTCATAGTTTGAACCATGGGCCTGTCGCTCACGAGAGACCACGCCGCCCATTGCAGGTTTGTGCTGGGCGACGGCGCGAACGAGGCGGAGGACGACCGTTTCGACGTGGCGGACGAGCTGGACGGCGCGGCGCCGTCGTGCGCCCTGCCGACGCACGGCCACGGCGTCGAGGTCATCCCCACGCACGTGCTGCTCCGCTGGCTGCCGCTCGGCCTGCTCGACTTCCTGCGCCGAGGCTGCACCGCGCTGCACTACGACGCGCCCGGCCGCGCCTCGGCGCTCTGCTTCCTACGCCTGCAGCCCGACAACCGCACGCTCGCTTGGGGGCAGACGCCCGTCGCCGGGCGCGCGCGCGGGGCCTGGCCGAGCGCGCCGGGCGGCCGCGGCGCCTCGGAGGGCTCCCTGGACCTCTCCTCGCTCAAAGACGCCTTCGCCGACGGGCTCGCCCCGTCCGACGCGGTGCACCTGGCCGGCCTGTACCGCCACGCCGCGCTGCTGCGGCCGCTGACGCTCCTGCACGGCGCCGGCACCACCGATAACCGCGCGCTGCGCTTCCTGGCGCCGAAGCAGACGGCGTCGCAGCTCACGGACGCGCTGCGGCTCGCCGCCACCGCGCTGCGTGGGCTCAAGCGCTACCCGGACCAGCGGCTCTACTGGCTGCGCAAGCAGTACGCGGCGCTCTTTCAGGTGCGCGCTCGTGCAGGGGGTTGGCGCGGCTCGCGGGCTGGCCACGGGCTAGGAGCCGTCTCGTCCCTGGAAGGTTGCGTACAGTCGCGGTCACCGTTCGGTGACCGGGCGGTGACCGTACTTTGACCGGGCGACGGTAGCTAAGCCGCTGCATGCCTGTGATCTGGTGCTGTGGAGGCAGCAGCGAGGGTTGGTGTATCACCGCACACACACTTTGTGAAACTCCCTTCCTCTGTGGGTGTTCAGGAGGAGCTGTACCCAGGCACGACAAGAGAAGGTGGTACAGCAAAGTGCGGACTCCACTTGTTCCGTCTGTATGGGATAGTCTTTCTCCGGGTGCTCCAGTTTCCTCTCACATTTGAACATTCATTCATTGGCGGAGAACACCTGGAGGACAGCAGAGCTTGGGCAATTGCTGGCCACTGCCTCTCCGTGTGGCTGCTGCCTTCCTGCTCGTGGTTTCTCGCGGCTCATTCTTTACCTCCGAGAACGAGCGAATGCTGTAGGGCGGCACCGTGTCGCAAGCTGACGTTGTTATTGAACGATAACTCGCAGCCAATCAGAGTGCTTAAAATTCCAACCCAGAGTCCCAGCATTGCCATCTCATCAGACAATCACGTGTACCCCCCATGTACCCCCCGTGTACCCCCCCAACCCCTTATACCCCCCACCCACGTGTACCCCCACCCCTCACATACCCCCACCCCCCCGTATACCCCCCCCACCCCCCGGAGGGTTCCTGCCAGGGCCCTACGCTGGCACAGACGGTGGAGTTGTTTGGGGGCCGGCGCTGGCCGTCCCACGGCGGGGCCAGCAGCGGCGTGGGTGGCGGCGGCGACGCCGGCGGCGGCGGCACCCTGGGCCGCACGGGGACGGAGCGCTGCAGCTGCCACCACAAGCTGGGCCTCGGCCTCGGAGAGGGGACGCCTCCCGGCAGGAAGGCCATGCAGCGCAACGCCAGCAAGCGCAACAAGAAGGCGCTGGCCAAGGCAGGCGCAGTTACACCCCCATGACCCTGTGCTCCCTAACCCTACGCGACACGTAGAGGAGCAGCTTCTCTAATTCTGGCCCTTTCCTGAAAGATTAAAAAAGTGGGATGGTGAAAGTGACCCGGAGAGAATCGGCTCGCGCCGGTGACGGTGGCGCCCGATCGCCGCCGCTTCGTCTGAGGCACCGCGCACGTGGGGGGGGGGGGGGGCAGCGGCGACTCCAGAGAGAGCCCTGGCCTGGACCTCCAGAGAAGCACTTCCGTGCCGCCTCCTGGGAACGCAACGTAGCGGAGAACAACGACACAAATCAACCGTCCGCCCGGTCCACGACTTCCACGGTCAACCGCTCACACGGCACGTCTGTGCGTGTGTGTTTGCGCGTGTTTGTGTTTGCGCGTGTGTGTGTGTTTGCGTGTGTGTGTGTGTGTACGTGTGTGTGTGTGTGTACGTGTGTGTGTGCGTGTGCGTGCCATGCACAGTCGGCCAGCGTGGACAGCGAGGAGGAGCTGGGAGACATCAGGACGAGGGGACACCAAGACGGCAGCCTAGGCATGGGGACGCACCGCACCGGCCCGCCGGTGCTGGCATCTGTACCCGACATCCCACTTGAGCAGCATCCTGCACCAAATCACCACGAGCCTTGCACCAAATCACCACGAGCCTTGCACCAAATCACCACGAGCCTTGCACCATGCATGCAGAGGTCACGCCACGGGAACAACGCCTCGAGCACCAAAGCGCTGCCAGTGACCACCAGGCACAGGTCCCGGTGGTGGGGGCGTGGTGTTGGTAGTGGTGGGGGGGGGGGCTGTGGTGTTGGTAGTGGTGGGGGGGCTGTGGTGTTGGTAGTGGTGGTGGGGGGGCTGTGGTGTTGGTAGTGGTGGGGGGGGGGGGGTGTGGTGTTGGTAGTGGTGGGGGGGGGGGCTGTGGTGTTGGTAGTGGTGGGGGGGGGGGCTGTGGTGTTGGTATTGGTGGGGGGTTGACGGTGTTTATTCCGGTGGGGGGGCGGTGTGTGTGCCCAGATCTGTCTGCGTCCAGCCCCGCGTCGCTGCTGAGCCCCATGCGTCGAGGAACGCTGCCCGAGTCTCCCCCCCCCCTGCAGAGCCTCACCTCCACGGCACGGCCGCTCACCCTCACCTCATCCTGCTCCTCTTCACAGAGGCCCAGCTCGATGGGCATGCCCACCGCGTTTCAAAAGTCGCACAGCGGGTGATCACAGCACCACACCGCACCGCACCTCACTGCACCTCACCGCACCTCACCGCACCTCACTGCACCGCACCGCACCGCACCGCACCTCACCGCACCTCACTGCACCTCACCGCACCTCACCGCACCGCACCTCACCTCTCCGCACCGCACCGCACCGCACCTCACCGCACCTCACTGCACCACACCCCATCCCACCACCTTCAAGCGGCTGAGCCATCGGGCGGAGGTCTCGTGACGGACTCGCGCCGTCTTCCTTGCATGCCCACGATGAGGCTTTCGGTTCTTTCTGCCCACATCTGACATCTTTCCAACTCCCTGTAAACCCTCACTTTTCACAATTTAAAAATAACAATTGTTTGGTACATTCGTTATTCGCTCCATTGTTATAGCGCAAGGTGATCATCACGAAGGAAGGCGCTGCTGTGTTTCATAGACACACCAGGTGACTGATGTTGCTGTGTTTCATAGACACAGCAGGTGACTGATGTTGCTGTTTAATAGACACACCGGGTGACTGATGTTGTGTTTCATAGACACACCGGGTGACTGATGCTGCTGTGTTTCATAGACACACCGGGTGACTGATGTTGTGTTTCATAGACACACCGGGTGACTGATGTTGCTGTGTTTCATAGACACACCGGGTGACTAATGTTGCTGTGTTTCATAGACACACCGGGTGACTGATGTTGCTGTGTTTCATAGACACAGCAGGTGACTGATGCTGCTGTGTTTCATAGACACACCAGGTGACTGTTGCTGTGTTTCATAGACACAGCAGGTGACTGATGTTGCTGTGTTTCATAGACACAGCAGGTGACTGATGCTGCTGTGTTTCATAGACACAGCAGGTGACTGATGTTGCTGTGTTTCATAGACACAGCAGGTGACTGTTGCTGTGTTTCATAGACACAGCAGGTGACTGATGTTGCTGTGTTTCATAGACACAGCAGGTGACCGATGCTGCTGTGTTTCATAGACACACCGGGTGACTGATGTTGCTGTGTTTCATTGACACACCGGGTGACTGATGTTGCTGTGTTTCATAGACACACCGGGTGACTGATGTTGCTGTGTTCATAGCCACACCGGGTGACTGATGTTGCTGTGTTTCATAGACACAGCAGGTGACTGATGTTGCTGTGTTCATAGACACAGCAGGTGACTGATGTTGCTGTGTTTCATAGACACACCGGGTGACTGATGTTGCTGTGTTTCATAGACACACCGGGTGACTGATGTTGCTGTGTTTCATAGACACAGCAGGTGACTGATGTTGCTGTGTTTCATAGACACACCAGGTGACTGATGTTGCTGTGTTTCATAGACACAGCAAGGTGACTGATGTTGCTGTGTTTCATAGGCACACTGGGTAACTGATGTTGCTGTGTTCATAGACACAGCAGGTGACTGATGTTGCTGTGTTTCATAGACACACCGGGTGACTGATGTTGCTGTGTTCATAGACACAGCAGGTGACTGATGTTGCTGTGTTTCATCTCTTTTGAGTCATTTGCAAGGTCATTTCAAATTTGGGCCGTCACGCAGCCACGCAATGGCTGACTCGTGTGGAATGACGTCGTGAGATCTGAGTTCGGTTCCCGCCGCTTTATAAGTCAATATAATTGTTGTTGTTTCTTAATGGCTCCGACCTAAGACCCGCGTGTACTCTGCCAATGCCTGCAGCAGCCGAAACAGCCACAGCTGGCACGGCAGCGCCCGCTCCGGATTCACCGTCTCGTTCCACGACTTCGACAACTCCGTCTCCTTCACGGAGTTCGTGGAGCTCTTCAAGTCGTTCATGTGAGCCCCGCTCCTCCCCCACCGCCGGCCCCGCCCGCTCGCCTGTCCCCCGTTCGTCGCAGCACCGCCGCCGAACGATTTTCGTTCAGGGAGAGCGTGAGCAGTGTTGACCGTTGGATTGCCTTCATCAGCCCGGGTAGTTTCTGCATGGAACCGCACCATGGTGATGGCGCTGGTGGGAGGAGGTGTTCCTCACCCTCTGGGCGTCGTGCATCACATTTTCTTAAACGTGCACAGTGGCTTTTAAATCGCCGAGTGGGAATCGAGTTTAATTTGTGAAAAATGTGGGGCCTCTGTAGAAGCAAAAACATTTTACCTTGACCTATGTTGCTATTTCGAAAGGGAAACCCAATTTAATACGACTTTCGACTCGTTCAATTGGACATTCATTCGTACCTAGATTGGTTGAAAAAAGCGTGATCCCATCGTTTTCCGTGTACAACGTTTTAAAATTGGCAGATCGAATGTAAAAAAACAATTCCTGTGTAGTTTACGAACCTTTGTTCTCCCGTTCTTAAGCACAATAGCAGCAGCAGCCACCGCTGCCCGCGGTTGTGAAGCGCCAGCTGCTCACGCTGCCGAGCCGGAGGGCCTGAGTGAGACGCCTGAGCGAGACGCGCGCCGTGTGCCGTGTGCGTGCAGCGTACGGAGCCGCAAGGACCTCAAGGACGTGTTCGAGGTGTACAGCGTGCCCTGCAGCCGCTGCGAGAGTCCCGCCGTGCCGGTGGGGAGCCACGCCGACGCGGCACCCCGGACCCCCCCCGGGGCCCAGCCGGAGATTGGTGAGCCTCGGCCGGACGCCGGTGAAACGTGTCAAAAATCGGGTCGTGTGTTTAACACGCACCAGGTTTTCGTAGCCGGTGTTAAGATAAAAGTTTTGTGCGGTGTACAGGCCTTTACCACGCAAAATGCGATGATTTCAGCTCACTAGTAAGTCGAAAAACTATTTTCACTACTGGATTTTGCAATTGGATAACCCTTGTTGTCTGAAACTGCATGTGCCATCATCAGGACAAAATCCAGGAAATCAGAATAACATTCCAGGAAGTCGTAACAATACAAATGTCGTCAGATGATTGCGGCCTCGCACAAAAACCACCACCGCCATGTCCCTCCCCTCCCGCCCGCTCCATCCCTCCCTCCTCTCTTCAGACCTAATCACGAGGAACGAGTCCGAGTGGAGTTCGCCGGCTGCCGGCTGGGGTGACGAGCCTGCCGTGGGAGGAGGCTGCGCGGCGTCGTTGGGCGTCGCCGGAGCCGCCGTCGCCGGAGCCGCCGCCGCCGGAGCCTACCAGCGGCAGATCTCGGACGCGATCGCGGCGGCCAGCATCCTGAGCAACGGCACGGGCGTGGAGAGCACGTCGCCCCGCCTGCTGGGCATGGCCCCCCGGCAGCTCGCAGACTTCCTCGCCAAGTGCCAGGGCGAGCACCTCACCTACCCGGAGCTGCTGCGCCTCATTCAGGTGAGGGAGTGTCCCCCGTGACGTCGTCGGTGACCGATGAGGAGGTTGATGAAGAGGTTGGTGATTGAGTGACGTGGCTCAAAGCGGGGTTTTTTTACGGATGGGTGTTTAAAAACAACGATGACAAACTAAACGTTGGGTGGGATCTTTTGAGCCGTGTTGTTTTGTGTCGGCTTCCTATGAATGAAAATAAGCGTCAAACTTGACCACAATGTGTGAAGCAGTTGTGCTCAAGCAGTTGTTTCTTGCTGTGGTTGTTCCACCTGATGACGGATGCTTGTGTTGCACCCAAAACATCGTGATTTAATTTATTTTATTTTCTACCCACGTGACTTTACCAAAAGAACCAAAGAGTATGGATCCCTGCAGTTACGAAAACTTCAAATCTAATGTGGAGGCCATTCTCCGCTGGCAAAGCGCGACCACGTGTTCGTCCGACAGGGGTGTTGTCTATTTATATTTTATCTGCAACTTACGTTGGTCGCCTACTACTCTGGCTTCTTCTCTGCTGCCAGTGTCTCCAGCGCCACCTTGCTGAGTAACTCCCGCATGCTGCCTCTGCTTCAGGTTTGACTTCCGTAAGTTGCCGCGTTTTTTTATTTCTATAGCTGCCCCCAAAACAAAAGGCTCATCCGATATTTTCTTCCGTAGCGGTTCGAGCCGTCGGAGTCCATGCGGCAGCGGGGAATCATGTCGTTTGAAGGATTCGCGAGGTACACACGCACAGGCACCACACGAGGCGTACATAGCGGCAGCGACGTTCACACTTCCATACCCAGCCGTGGCCTCTCGCTCTCCCCATCTCTCCATCTCTTCCCCCTCCCTCTCCCCATCTCTGCCTCTCTCCCTCTCCCCATCCCTCCCTTTCTCCCTCCATACCTCTCCCCATCTCTCCCTCTCTCATCTTTCCCTCTTTCCCTATCCCTCCATCTCTACCTCTATCTCTCCATCTCTCTGTGCCGCGTCCTTTTTAAAAGACGTCAGCAAACGTGGCCTTCCTTCCGTTTAGCTCTGCCCGTGATGTTTACTCAACAACTTTGCATCAGACACTCCTTCCTGTTGCATCCAATTGTTCAAATTGCGTATGTACTTAATTCGCTATCTTCCCCATCTCTTTGTGGTACCTCTAATTGTCAAAACTCATTCATATTCAGTCTTCTGTTTTCTCATTGAACGTCTCAATAAATATAACTTGCCTTTCTCAAATTATTCTGATCCTATTTGTTGTTGTGTACCCTGCTGTCCGCAATGTGTTCATGTTACTCGTCCTGTCCGTCCGTGATGTGTTTAATGTCCTTATTAAAAAAGCACATTTCCGCTGCTGCGTCCGGTTTGCTCGGTGTGGGGCCGTTGTGACTACCCACGGCTTCACGCGAGCGACGCGCGCGGCTCCCGCTGTGACGTCTCCGCCAGGTTCCTGCTCGACGCGGACAACTTTGCGTGCGTCCTGGAGGAGTCCCCGCCGGACGAGAGCCAGCTCCAGCGCCCGCTCTCGCACTACTACATCGCCTCGTCCCACAACACCTACCTCACGGGACACCAGCTCAAGGGAGACTCCTCCGTGGAGCTCTACCATCAGGTGCGGGCGTGTGTGCGCCCGTGTGCGTGCGTGTGTGTGTGCCCGTGCGTGTGTGCCCGTGCGTGTGTGTGTGTGCCCGTGTGCGTGTGTGTGTGTGCCCGTGTGCGTGTGTGTGCGCCCGTGTGTGTGTGTGTGTGCGTGTGTGTGTGTGTGTGCGCGTGAGCAGAGTAGTTGGCGCACTGCGCTACCGACTTGGCGACCCGAGTTAGATTTCCACTCGCGGCCAACGTCGGTAACGAATGTCTGCACCGGTCGTGAGCCTCCCCTAGGTCGACTCAGCCTTACATTAGCACCAGGTGCGGCGTGTGTAAACATCAGCACTGGGGAGACAAAGGCGGACTGGCGTCACGCTCGCCACACCACCCCGCAACGTGCCGTTCCAGCCCTAACAGGTGCTTGCTACCTGCACTTGCCCCAAAAGCCTGTGTAGCTCGTATTGGGGATATTTGTATTTATTTTTTTCAAGTACGTAAGGTTGTGAGTTCAATCCCTGGTTGGCTGTTGGTTTACATCCCATCAACCCTCTTAGGAACAACATGCAATGAACGCTGGACGCACTCCGTTGCAAAAGGAATTGGCCCAAGATCTCTCACTGCCGATTGGTTTGACCTCTGGCTCACCAAGGAATATACTTTTATCTTCTTTGGTTCTTTCGGTAAAGTCACGTAGAATGAGAATAAAATAATAAATTGATAAAATAAAATAACACAATAATATTCTCACGACGTTTCGGCCACAAAACAAGCGGCCTTCATCAGGTGAAGGGAGCGAGACTGTCTGGTAGGACAGCGCTGGAGTGAGAGAGCCACGTTCAGATCACGGCTTTTAAGCTGTGTGAGAGGAACAAAGAGCCTTGACGAAGGAATTAGCATAAAATTTAGCATTGAAAAGGCTGAATGATTAGCTTGTGACTGGTCACAGAAATAGCTATGTTAAAAGTTAAAGCATACACATCCGCAGAGGCACCCATTGTTAAAAGGAATTAGCATAGAATTTAGCATTGAAATAGCTAAATTAAGGCATTCGCTTGTAACTGCTACAGAAATAGTTACGTTGAAGTCAGAGCATACACATTCACCGAGGCACTTAGTACAAATCAAAACAGGAGAATTTAGCATTGAAATAACTAGGCGAGTTTAGCATTGAAATAACTGGGTGATTTGCTGGTGACTGGTCACAGAAATGACTACACATCTGAGCTATTCACAGTACTATATAGTGAACCAATAAAAACTAAAATATAAATTACCTTCATGTTATCAATAAACTCTATATTCTCCAATCAGCTAAGCTACCAACCATAAGTCGTTATATATCACAATGCTATATGGCGAAAAAATGGGTGGATTCTTACCCTCAAATTTCCGTACCACGGATAGCTACGGGCCCCGTTCAGACGGACGAGTTCGTCCATGGTCGGAACAGAGGAGGGGGAGAGAGACAGCTGCGAAGCCCTAGTATACTCCATGTTGTAAACCATACCATTAACCGTGGTGTGAGAGGTATTAAGAGGCAATGCTGGCGAAAGAGCTGCGGTCTGAAGGTCATCGTAAAATTACAATTAATTAAGAACAGAAATGATTTAACACATCTTTCCAGTGGTTACTAAGCCTGAATCCATCTTTTCGGTTGAAATTGTCTCTGTGCTTGTATATGTGAATGGCCTCATGAACGAATCTCTCATGGTAGCCAGTTGGTTTGCAAAGAACCTCCGTCTTGGAGAAGTCAATGTCATGTGAGCCCACTGAATTGTAACAGTGATCTGCCACGGCCGAGGAGTTCGTCTTACCGTGTTTCAAGTCTGCTTTATGTTCGCGGATGCGGTCCGAGATATGTCTTTTGGTTTCTCCAATGTAGCTACTACCACAGAGGCACTTTAGTTTGTAAACGCCCGGGTACTGTATGTCTGGAAGAGCATCTTTTACAGATGGAACTAAATCACGGATTTTGTGTACTGTGTTGAATCGGACCTGGATCTTGTGTTTATTCAGGATTTTGGAGATCTTTTTAGTGACCCCTGCAATGTAGGGTAAGGTGATGGTTTTGAGTGGCTCCACAAGAGGATCCTTCTTCATGACTGGAGTGATGGCTTTGCGGATTGTGTAGTCGGAGTAGCCATTAGCCCTGAGAGCCTGGTGTACGTGCTTGAGTTCACTGGTAATGTGTTCCTGGTCGGAAATGCATTGGGCTCTATGGTATAGAGTCTTGATGAGGCAGTTCTTCTGGGATGGATGGTGGTGGGAATCCGGTTTCAAGTAAGCATCTGTATGGGTAGCTTTCCTGTAGACAGAGTGGCTCATTGAACCATCATGTCTCCTTTTAATTAAGACATCCAGAAAGGGTAGTTTGCCATCTTTTTCGACCTCCATGGTAAATCTGATGGCTGGGTGTATGGAATTGATGTGGTCGCGGAATTGGTCTAGAGCAGGCTGGCCATGTGGCCAGATGACAAAGGTGTCATCAACGTACCTCTTCCATAAGGTCGGGCGTAGAGTGGCAGTCTGGATGGCGTCAGTTTCAAATTTTTCCATGAATACTGCATACTGATGTACCCCCCCTGGTGAGACATTGCTTAACCAACACATACTTCACCTAGAATGGAACTTTCTACAAACAAACTGAGGGCACCCCAATGGGCTCCCCCCTATCTCCGGTTGTAGCCAACGTATTCATGTAAAAATTTGAAACTGACGCCATCCAGACTGCCACTCTACGCCCGACCTTATGGAAGAGGTACGTTGATGACACCTTTGTCATCTGGCCACATGGCCAGCCTGCTCTAGACCAATTCCGCGACCACATCAATTCCATACACCCAGCCATCAGATTTACCATGGAGGTCGAAAAAGATGGCAAACTACCCTTTCTGGATGTCTTAATTAAAAGGAGACATGATGGTTCAATGAGCCACTCTGTCTACAAGAAAGCTACCCATACAGATGCTTACTTGAAACCGGATTCCCACCACCATCCATCCCAGAAGAACTGCCTCATCAAGACTCTATACCATAGAGCCCAATGCATTTCCGACCAGGAACACATTACCAGTGAACTCAAGCACGTACACCAGGCTCTCAGGGCTAATGGCTACTCCGACTACACAATCCGCAAAGCCATCACTCCAGTCATGAAGAAGGATCCTCTTGTGGAGCCACTCAAACCATCACCTTACCCTACATTGCAGGGGTCACTAAAAAGATCTCCAAAATCCTGAATAAACACAAGATCCAGGTCCGATTCAACACAGTACACAAAATCCGTGATTTAGTTCCATCTGTAAAAGATGCTCTTCCAGACATACAGTACCCGGGCGTTTACAAACTAAAGTGCCTCTGTGGTAGTAGCTACATTGGAGAAACCAAAAGACATATCTCGGACCGCATCCGCGAACATAAAGCAGACTTGAAACACGGTAAGACGAACTCCTCGGCCGTGGCAGATCACTGTTACAATTCAGTGGGCTCACATGACATTGACTTCTCCAAGACGGAGGTTCTTTGCAAACCAACTGGCTACCATGAGAGATTCGTTCATGAGGCCATTCACATATACAAGCACAGAGACAATTTCAACCGAGAAGATGGATTCAGGCTTAGTAACCACTGGAAAGATGTGTTAAATCATTTCTGTTCTTAATTAATTGTAATTTTACGATGACCTTCAGACCGCAGCTCTTTCGCCAGCATTGCCTCTTAATACCTCTCACACCACGGTTAATGGTATGGTTTACAACATGGAGTATACTAGGGCTTCGCAGCTGTCTCTCTCCCCCTCCTCTGTTCCGACCATGGACGAACTCGTCCGTCTGAACGGGGCCCGTAGCTATCCGTGGTACGGAAATTTGAGGGTAAGAATCCACCCATTTTTTCGCCATATAGCATTGTGATATATAACGACTTATGGTTGGTAGCTTAGCTGATTGGAGAATATAGAGTTTATTGATAACATGAAGGTAATTTATATTTTAGTTTTTATTGGTTCACTATATAGTACTGTGAATAGCTCAGATGTGTAGTCATTTCTGTGACCAGTCACCAGCAAATCACCCAGTTATTTCAATGCTAAACTCGCCTAGTTATTTCAATGCTAAATTCTCCTGTTTTGATTTGTACTAAGTGCCTCGGTGAATGTGTATGCTCTGACTTCAACGTAACTATTTCTGTAGCAGTTACAAGCGAATGCCTTAATTTAGCTATTTCAATGCTAAATTCTATGCTAATTCCTTTTAACAATGGGTGCCTCTGCGGATGTGTATGCTTTAACTTTTAACATAGCTATTTCTGTGACCAGTCACAAGCTAATCATTCAGCCTTTTCAATGCTAAATTTTATGCTAATTCCTTCGTCAAGGCTCTTTGTTCCTCTCACAGCTTAAAAGCCGTGATCTGAACGTGGCTCTCTCACTCCAGCGCTGTCCTACCAGACAGTCTCGCTCCCTTCACCTGATGAAGGCCGCTTGTGTTGTGGCCGAAACGTCGTGAGAATATTATTGTGTTATTTTATTTTATCAATTTATTATTTTATTCTCATTCTACGTGACTTTACCGAAAGAACCAAAGAAGATGAATCATTGCAGTCACGAAAGCTTTAAATCGAAATTTAATATACTTTTAATTAGAACACAAATCTGTCACTGTTATTTTTCAAAAGGTGGCAACCCTTTGTGTCTCACAGCAACAAGAACCTGGATCCGAGTCCTGACTCGTGCGCCATTCTGTGTGGATTCTCTCCTCCTCTTCTGCATGGGTTTCCTCTGGGTTTTTTCCCCACAGTTACAAATCGTTGTCATTGGTGTGGAACTAAACAACACAATCAGCGCAGGAGACTCGCCTGCGTCTTGGGACTCGGTGCCATACGATATTATGATGTGCAGGAGGAGACACTCTGTCCCTTACATACAGAGCAGCTGGAGTCCACATGTTTGCTGAGCTACCTTTCGGCGAACCAGGGTACGGCTCCCTCTCGACGCCAACGGGAAGGGAGTTTCACAACATCCCCGCGGTGATCCACCAACCCTGCTGCCTCCACGGTGCTGAGCTACAGGCAGCCACGTGCACAGCCACCACCGCCACCGTCATCACCGTCGTCGTTCCTCTCGTTCCTCCGGCCCCAACCCCTCAGGTGCTGCTGCAGGGCTGCCGCAGCGTGGAGCTGGACTGCTGGGACGGAGACGACGGCTCCCCCATCATCTACCACGGCCACACGCTCACCACCAAGATTCCCTTCCAGGTGACCGCTATCGGCGACCCCCGGCCTCGAGCTCACAAGCGACGCCACGCCGACTGACGGGCGATGCACGCCGAGCCCAAAGAACAAAGACAAAGATCACCCGTATAGCCTTAACATGCTGTTGAGGCAAGTGCTGATAGCGAGCACCTGTGAAGGCCTACACGGGATTCTAGGGAGTGGGAGGCCAGCCCCAGGCCAAGCCACCTTTGTCTCCTCGGAGGTGATGTGTTTACACACCGCACCAGGTACTCATTTGAGGTTGAGTAGACCTAGGGGAGGGCCGGGACCGGTTCGGACAATTGTCACCGGTGTTGGCCGTGAGCTCAACAAGCACACACGCGGACGTGCACGATGGAACCGGTATTGGCCAAATATCCCACTGCTGAAAAGCTCCCCACGAGCGACTCGCTCGGGGAAGACGCACGGCAGCGTTGTGCCCCCGCTACGACAACATTGGCAGTACCATCCTGATCAAGAGCCCTGAGGCTTTCCTGGGTAATCAAGCGTAGGAGTAACAATACTAAATAATACACCACTTTAAGTACAGACTTTGCAGGCTTTTGTTTGTGACGTGTGACGTTTTAGACCTCATGGATACTCCACACCCAAACCGGGGTGGCTTCACCGATGGAACGCTCAGGGTCTGATACCATACTTTTTATAAATTATCTGCTGTTATGAGACTTATTTCGTGGCATCTTCCCTTCAAAATAGCTTTCAGTGCTTTCCCTTTGTCTGTCCAAATATCAAAGTCATTTTGTCTGTCTGCTCAAGTGAGCACCGGGCCGCCGCAAAATGGAGGGTGTAGAGGGAAAGAAGGGGGGCACGAGTTGTCACCGATTAACTCTTTTTATTGTACCAGGTAAGGCCCACTGAGCTACCTAGCTCTTTATCAGAAGCGCCCTGGCCACAAATGATAGCTCAACGAAGCGGCTCATCACGTGGACATTTATAGCAGCCACATACTCTGAACGCACGTTGAATCCACGAGACTACAGGGAGAACATGTTAATTCCAAATATACAGCAGGCGTCCGGGCTGGGATCGAACCCACGACCTCCTGTATACCAGGCGAGGTAGTTAACATCTCCTAGCCACCACGGTTCCCCCATCTCTGCGTGACCCACCAACCCTGCCCTCCCACGCGCAGCCTGCTGGATGAAGGCCTCCTGATGCCGTGACTATCCTTCCCGAATAGGCAGTGCGTAGGAGCGCAAGTTGTAGGTGTGCACCGCTCTGTCGCTGCGTGAGACGTCACCGCCGTGTGAGACGTCACCGCCGTGTGTGACGTCACCGATGTCTGGGTTGCCCCGGCCCTGTAGGACGTGGTGGAGGCGATCAACCGCAGCGCGTTCGTCACGAGCGAGCTCCCCGTCATCCTCTCCATCGAGAACCACTGCTGCCTCGCCCAGCAGCGTAAAATGGCCGAAATCTTCAAGGTGCCCCATCTCCGCAAACACGGCCGCGCACCGTACAACCTCGCACAATCGTGCGTGTCCACGTATGCTGTGCGTGTACAGGTCTGCTCGGTGCACGTGTGCGCACCGAGCAGAAAAATACTTAACTCGATTCATCATTGACTTTCGAGTTAGGTGAATGATCTGAATGATCAATCAATGATCTCGCCACACTTGGACCGTGAGTGGCTACAGTCGCCGCTAGCTCACGGCTGCCCCCGCCGGTCGCTTCTTTGGCAGAGCGTCTTCGGGGAGCGACTCGTGACGCGCTTCCTCTTCGAGTCGGACTTCTTAGACGACCCCATGCTGCCATCGCCGTGGCAACTGCGAGGCAAGATCCTGATCAAAAACCGCAAGCTGAAAGCTCACCACACGCCCGTGGACCTGCTCAAACAGAAGGTAAGAGGGTGCCGCTATCTCGCGAACGCTGACCCATCGCTTCCTGCGAATCCACCAATTACTCGGATCTTAGCTCGATTATCACAACAACGTCGAACTCAATATTCTCACCGTACATGCGGTCATAACTCTCTCCAGGTCGGACTGAACCCTCACTCCAGATCCACGGCATTTGCTGCGCTTGCATTTGCTCTGCTTGCATGATTCTCTTCTGCTGTCTGGTGTTTCTCGATGAGTCTTGTGGAGGGGTCGCCACTTTTCAAAATTGGATGTAAAACATTGGATTGATTAAACTAGATCGTCCAAACCTCCAGGATTTTCTACTATGACCGCCCATGTTTGTTCCCTTTAACCATTAAACCCAGCAGCGACTTTGCCAGTGTCAACCACATCTGCTTTAATTCCTCCCTTTGATCTTTCAACATGGCCAGCAGCGCCTCTCACTCATCTACCCCCCAGCTCCACTTGCACCGCTGCAATTGCTCTGTCGTGGTCTGAACATGTTTCTCTCGCCCTGGTTTGTATCACAGAAGTTCCACGGTCTTTTCTAGGTTTTAACAATCTGTGAGCACGACAGCCTGAGCATTCGGATTTATCCACATAATTTTGCTTCACTTTTTAATGACCAGCCTCCTGCCACTGCACAATTGAAGCAACCAAGTTCCATAATAATACTAATAATAATTTTCTTGCTCTATTCCATGTTGGCCTACAAAGAGAAAGATCCCCCATATAGCCTTAACAGACCGTTGGGGCAAGTACTATTGGCGAGCACCTCTGGTGGCCGAGGACACATACCCACAGGCCTGCATCAGGCCTCCATTGTCCACGTGGCTGGTGTGCATACAAGGTCACTGCAGAGCCCTGCTAGCCACCTACTGGCCAGAATATCAATATTGACCGCCCGTTTACTTACACGTGTTAGTTTGTTTTCCTTCCCCTGCACCTCTGATTAGCACGGTTGGCTACGTACGGTGCGAAATAAGTTCAACATACACACATACATATTTTTGAAACCTGTAATAAATAGGGAGGACCTGATAAACAAAGCCCACTTACACTATTCCCACAAAGAGTAGGAGTCCAGTGTGCAGGGAGAGCCACTGCAGTGAGCGTGAGTGCATCGTCGCTTGGCTGGAGTCGCCGCTGTGACGCTAGCGGTGTGACGACACGTCCGTTCGCCGTCGTGTAACGGCCGTTGTTGTTGTTGGCGTGGTGCCGCTAGGCCCACAAGTTGGCCAGCCTGGCGGCGCAGCAGTCCAGCGCCACCGCGGACGAGGAGGAGGAGGACGAGGACGAGTATGACTACGACTACGAGTCGCTGTCCGACGGTACGCTTCCCGCGCCGCATCCTTAACCAGCGGTGTGGCGGCGGTTCGTCGGTCCGATGAGCGGTACCGCATCCTTGCGCTCAATCTCACGCGGGCAAGAATCAACGCGTTAAGATTTGGTCTCCGTCGTCGATTCACGTGGCCCCCCTCTGCCTCTCGTCGCCACCACATTCACCGCGGTGTTAACAAAAATCAAGATTCTTCGTAAGGTACCATTACCGTGAAAACGTAACAACTCGTCAAATCGCCGGAGTGGTGGGAGCGATTCATTTGTCGCGCGCACACCTCTAATTCTTATTATAGACCCCAACAAACACTCCTGCGGCCGTCCCAGCACTGTCCCTGCACACACTTCCACCCACGTACCTTTGGCACGAGGCAGTAAGGGCATGCTGAGCAAGCTGAGGAGGCTGCCGGGCACCTCGAGGCTTCGCATCACCGGTGCAGAATAAAATTAACGGTTACAACAGCTGCCGTTCCACACCAAGGCGGCGTGCCGCTTGTTTCCAGGTGTGGCGCAGCTCAGGCCACGTGAAGTGGTGGAAGCTCACGGCCTGGAAGTCGCAGGGACAGTGTTAACGGTGGGAGGTGTGAGTGGAAGCCACCGGTCGCACGATGGCTGCGCTTGCCTCCAGGTTCCCTCGTGCACACTCCGTTGCCCCACACGGCTGTACTCTCACAGCTGCCGCGTGCTCGTACGCCTGGCACACGTTGAGGACTCTAACCCAGGCCTCGCATAGCAACAAACGTGTATCAGTCCTTTGTGACATTACACATAGTTTATAGACGTAAACTTGCTTTGGTCACAAAATTCAGCCTTTATAATGATAACACGTGGTGGTGGTGGTGGTGGCGGTGGCGGTAGTGGTGGTGGCGGCGGCAGTGGTGGTGGTGGTGGCGGTGATGGGTGACGGTGGTGGCGGCGGTGGTAGTGGTGGTGGTGGCGGTGGTGGTGGCAGTGGTGTGGCGGCGGTGGCGGTGGCGGCGGGCGGCGGTGGGGGCCGTGCTGCTGTGGAGTCAGTCTGAACGAGCGCTTTGTTTTGTGTGCACGCTCCACCGTTTGTGGCTCTTGCGGCTAATCGGGCCAACACAAATACCTGCAGCTGCACGCTTCGGCGACTGCGTGCAAGGCCTCTGGTCGCTGCGAGCCTCCACGTCAGCATCGCAGCCGAGAGCTCAAGCCACACGACGCCTCGGCTCTGTAAAGCCCAGCCAGCACGCAGCGACGCACGCGGGTCTTGTCACGAGCAAGAACTCGCTGCCTCCTTGCTTGCATGCCGTTTAAAGCGTAGTCAAAATGTGAATTTCCTTCACGGAATCTCACGTAAACGTTGTTCTTCCCAGCGAGGGCTGTGCCGCAGGACTGCACGTCGAGGCCAGGCTGTGTGGCGAAGTGCCGTGGGATGTGGGACATGGGTGGAGAAATGGGTGCAGTTCAATCGGGGATTGCGTTAATGTTTCTATTTCCGTATTTTCACACTCGTCTCGATCAAATCGTCCTCGTGGTTTCTATCTTAAGACCGCGTTCCACCCACAAATTGTTAGCATAGTCCGGGATAAAATTAGTCAAAATAACGCTCACTATGTGGAGTCATGGGAAGCCAAAATGGAAAAGCTGACACAGCTCCTTCTGCATTCCAGTCCAGGGCCATAGGACCACACTTTGCTTGTGTTCGTTTGTTGTCCTTCCCTCGTACCTCCGATTAGCACGGTTGACTCCGTACGATGTGAAAGAAATTCATCACACATACACTGTCAAACGCTTTGAATTAAATGTGTACCTTATTTAAACTTTAGATTAAAAATACGTCAATTGTGAGTCGGTTTACAACAAACTGCATCTATATGTTACAAGCTTACATAACACAACTTAATTTTTTTTACGAAGTCACAGGGTTAAACTCCAAATTCAATAAAGGTTTTAAAGTGTTATATATCAGACGTGGGTTTAAATCCATCCAGTCCTTCGTTTTATTTAGCGAATCTCATTGTAAAAAGTTGGATTCTTATATCCAAAACAAGTAAATAAACCAGCGAGCCATCTGCTGAAAAGTGATATTAATAGGGTAACACTTGTGCTGAGGAATATGAATAATGTAATGCCAAGGATAGGGCCTTATGGTAACCTAGCAATCTGCCACTTCGTACAATGCTGCTGTGAGACAAAGCTTAGGTCATCATTTAATCACGAGTCCACGCAAAGATCTCGCTGAGGTGTTGCTGACTTTGTATTCAGAGTTGATGAAAGGAAACATTTGTAACCAAATTATTTGGTGATGCTGTTGCTGTGGCAGTGGTGGACAACAAAAACTCAACACGCCTACTACGTTTCAGGCAGTGGACCTTTTTCAGAGCGCTCAAGAAGGGCCATTAACTGAAACGTCCTTCAATTATGTCTGTTTTGTTTTTTCTCTTAAGGGCCACAGTGATATTGACGTCTGTGTGTGTTCAAACTGCATTGCCTCTTTGCAAAGCCAATAACAGTGAACACTCTGATTTGCTGTGTAAATAAATCAGTGCCACTCAAGTTTTGCTACCTTGGGCAGTGGTAGCGATTTATGCTCTGGCCCATGGACCATTTTCTTTGCTTCAGAAAGCACAGATTTTGCTTTGGGCTTCAGTCTCCGAGTGAGTGAAATGGGAATCGACGTCCGTTTGTGTGCAACACTCGTGGCTTTACCCAGCTTTCTCTTGCATATCATTGATAATTATTTAAACCTCAATTGGAACTGCTAAATGATGTTTTTACTGAAATGTGTATTGTGTGTGTGTGTATTTGGCTCCTAATTCTATAACTAACCCTCATTGTCCATGACATATCATCACTCTCTTGAATATCTGCCAGTACGTTGGTGTTTTAATTCACTGTCCTAACACTCATTGTGTATCCTGATATAGCCACTGTGCTTTCATCACCACACAATCTCCATGGCGCATTGCGTTAAACTACGCCATCCAAGAAAGGCTCTTTTCTCCCACAATATGAAATGTGTTTTAAAGGGTGACCACGTCGCTCAGAGATCCGAACCAGGAAGCTTCCACCGTTGAGATCTTCCATGCAAATCCAGCAGCCCCACCGGCTGTGACTAAAGCGTGACTAAAAACGGTGACTAAACCTGTAACTAAAACAGTGACTAAAAATGGTGACTAAACCTGTGACAATCTGTGACTAAACCTGTGACTAAACCTGTGACTAAACCTGTGACTAAACGGTGACTAAACCTGTGACTAAACCTGTGACTAAACCGGCGGCTAAACCGGCGACTAAACCGGCGACTAAACCTGTGACTAAACCAGCGACTAAACCTGTGACTAAACCTGCGACTAAACCGGCGACTGAACGGTGACTAAACCTGTGACCTAACCTGTGATTAACTCGGCAACTAAACCGGCGACTAAACCGGCGACTAAACCTGTGACTAAACCTGTGACTAAACCTGCGACTAAACCGGCGGCTAAACGGTGACTAAACCTGTGACTAAACCGGAGACTAAACCGGCGACTAAACCGGCGACTAAACCTGTGACTAAACCTGCGACTAAACTGGCGACTAAACCTGTGACTAAACCTGTGACTAAACCTGTGACTAAACCTGTGACTAAACCTGCAACTAAACTGGCGACTAAACCTGTGACTAAACCTGCGACTAAACCTGTGACTAAACCGGCAACTAAACCTGTGACTAAACCTGCGACTAAACCGGCGACTAAACGGTGACTAAACCGGCGACTAAACCTGCGACTAAACGGTGACTAAACTTGGGACTAAACCTGGGACTAAACCGGTGACTAAACGGTGACTAAACCTGTGACTAAACCTGTGACTAAACCGGCGACTAAACCTGACTAAACCGGCAACTAAACCTGTGACTAAACCGGTGACTAAACTGGCGACTAAGCAGGCGACTAAGCCGGGTTCTTGAGTGCAATGAGTTAACGTTCTCAGCACAGTCACTAATGACTGCACACACAAAAAAACGCATCACAAAAAACGTGATTCTGCACTTAACGTAGCAAAAATTTCAGCTCTGAGAATTAAGTATGTTGGTTTGACTGTCCGGCGATGAATACTGTGCCCGGTAGCAGAGTGAGTGGGAGAGTACGGCTGCCTACTGTGTGGAGCAGAGATCATGTGAAGGGATCTCAGAAGTAGTTCCGTTATAACTGCTTCCGTGGGCCGTTCTCAGAGGGCCGCAGTGCTCTGCGAGAGATCCATGGAGATCGTTCGTCTCATTGCACTAGACCGAGAGCAGCATATAGAAGAAGAAAAATGGCGAAAAGGCAAAAACATTCTCCAAAGAAAATAAGAAAAGATGCACAATTTCCAAGGAGTGCTTAAGTTTAACAAATTACAGTGTGTGGAACGATGGGTTTGGAGAGCCCTTTCTCAAGTGTACCAACATGAATTTGGCCTAAAGCAGACATTCTTAAATGTTAGTCCTTCCATCAAACCCTATTCGCTGAGCTTTTCACGTCTCGCAGTCTTCCTAAGTCAGGTTTAAGAACAACAACAACAATGTACTCTCGTGTGCATTCTCTGGCAGACAAAGGCACGACCGGAATGTGAGACCTGCCGCCAGAGAGATGTGCCTTTCAGAGTGCAAAGGGCATCCAGATTGCCTGGGATATGTTGGCTTTGCATGCAGAGGGAGTGGGGCGTGGTCGTTTAAAAAGGGTGACCTTAGGCTGCCCATGTTCGGTTTGTTGGGAGGCCACAGGGGGGAGGATATTAAAACATCCGAAGAGACGATTGTGCTTGATGGCAGAATGACTCCCCACTCATCACAGCTCTGTCATATTTCCTTTCTCTTACCATGACCCTGCTCAATCCATCTCTCCCCTCCCCCTTCCCTATCTCCCTCCAGCTGACGGCCTTTCCACATCCATGCAGGCTCTCCAGAAAGGTAACTTCCTCCAACAACCATCGCATGGCTACTACGCCACTAAACTCATTGTTGTGTGTGAAAGGACATTCCTGTGTGTCTGTGTGTGCGCGCATAACATCCCTGTTTGGAGCGGTGGCACAGTGCTTGATGCACAGTGCTACGGACCGGGCGACCCAAGTTCGATTACCGTACGTGGCCAACGTTAGTGGCGATTGTCTGAACCGGTCCTCGGCCTCCCCTAGGTCGACTCGACCTCAAATGAGTACCTGGTGTAGCGGTGTGTAGTAAACATCGCCACTGGGGTGACAAAGGCGGCCGGGCGTGGTGCTGGCGACTCACCCCCTCGTGTGCTGTTCCGGCCTTGAAAGGTGCTCGCCAACAGCACTGGCCCCAACGGTCTGTTAAGGCTATACGGGAGATCTTTGTGTTTGTGTGCCGTCAATTAACATTCATTCCCCCCCCTGCGCCCCCCTCCTCGGACCATTCTTTCTTGGCTCTGCTGGACTCGTAACGTCTGACTGTGGAACCTGTCTGGGTGTTTGTTTACAGGGAGGGGGTTACGGGGAATCGTCCAGGTCGTGTTGGGTCGACTTGAGATGTCAGAATATCCGTTTGTTCGTACACAGCTCAGATTGCTTGCAGGCTACCGTACTCTACCTATTTATTTCAGGCGTTGTTTCTCAAACTAAACCTTTGCAAATAATGAGACTTAAATGCGCGTACGCTTCTAATCTTTTCGCTTTTATCTTGAGTCACGGTATCGAGTCTCCCAAGAACCGCTCCTTTGCCGAGGGAGTCTGCATTTGAACGGCACCGGTTGCATTTGGAGTCTGTTGTGTGACTGGGGTTAAAAGCCAGCAGCTACATTGTTGCAATTGAATTTATCGCAATTCCATGTTCAACGTGAGGTGCACTCCGCATACACAGCGCTGCGTGGCTGGATTAAATCCTCCCTGCTGCGTTTGCGTGAACGGCCGTTCCCGCTGGTCGTAACGTTCCGTTCCTGGAGCCACGCTCCCCGCACCGACTGCACCGCTGGGCTTCTGTCGTCCCATGGAAGCGCCCTGGCGCAGCAGGTGGCCTTTATCGTCCCCGTGGTCACGTGAGAGCCTTTTCACAACGCAGCGCGCGTGTGCGGCTGATGCCCCCTTGAGGTGTTGCTACGCTCGGGGACTTCTCTGGCATGTCACACTTGGTGACGACGTTGGTGTGTCTTTTAAAAGAGGAGAGTAAAGTTTATCAGCTGCCGTGATCTGATCCCGGCGATTGCGAGCAGCTGCTGTTCAGCGTTCTTCTCCCCCCGCTGCTCCTCAACTCATTGTACAGCAATGTAACCGGTGCGGTGTATAAACATCGCCGTTGGGAAGACAAAGGCGGGCGGGCGGGCGTGGTGCTGGCCACCCACTTTTCGTGTACCGTGCCAGCCTTCATCGGTGCTTCTCTAACAGCACTTCCCTAATAGTCTGTTAAAGGGGATCTTTGTTTTTGAGAGAGTGTGTCTACTCCCACCTAGTGTCTGGATTTTGAGTAGGAGTGCCCAAGTCTTAAACTCCGCATCCACAAACACCATTTCTGTTTGTCGTGGGATTTAGCTCAGACACCAGACTGATGAATACACCTGCTCAAATAATCAACAACACGGCCTGTCTTATCTCCTAAAGATATGAATAAACTCGTTCTTCTTTAACGTAGGGCCGATGTTGATGTAGAGCAGCAACTATGATTTTACATTGAGGTGGTTGATAAGCCAGATTGCGTCTTGAGTTTCTGAGTGGTGATGGTGCTGTGACAATGCCCTCCCTTCGTGTTTGTGAATCGGGCGTTGACTGCTCCTGAGATGCCCCACGCTCTGTTCTGGGTGACCACAGTCACACAACGGAGAGTTTCTAATGTTACAGTTGTGCATCATCAATCATCCCCCCCCCCCCAGCTACTCCACTGCCATGGTTTGTGTGGATGTGGTTTAGGGTTGTGGCCCATTAACTTCGGAAGATCGAATCCAGGGGATTTCTGCATCGCATCTTTCACGAGGCGTTTCTGGCTTCGTGTGAACTCCATTCGGCTTTCCGAGCATCCTCAGGGTTGAAGTCGCTTTGTCGAAGGTAGAGCTCCACTTGAACGTCTCATCTCAGCAACATCGACTGACCTCTCAACCCCCTGGAGTTGCTGCTGCTGTGATGTTGGTTGGTTAGCTGACGAATCGCTTCAAATTCAAAGCAAATCTGATTAATATCTGACGCCCTCCCGTGTTATAGTCACAGACATCACTTGTGTTCTTGTGGACAAATAACGAGTGTGCAGATCGGCACCATGCAGCCTCTGTGGACGGCAGCAGTGAGCAGAGGTTTCACTTGTACTGTGCGTGCCCCAGCACGAGCAGGATTTTGCAGGAATAATGAAGAATTTTGAGTGGATTCCAAAGTTTTGATTCAGAAACCGAGACTCCGAGTCTTCAGCGGTAACGCCAACCACGGCTCACTCCCACCAAGAAGTTTCCAAAGTTCCAGCGTTTGCTCGAAAAGTCATGACCTCAGCTTATTGGAATGCAGATGGAGTTACACAGATTCATTTATTGAGGCCACAGCGTGGGGCAGTGCGTACGTACACGCCACTAATTGCGTAATTACACATTGCAAGGGAATGAGACCAAGTAGAGTCGGGACGCGTGGCCTGCTATTCCACTTCTCCACGGACACCGCTTCTCCATGGACACCGCTTCTCCATGGACACCGCTTCGGCTCTCAAGCTTTACGTTGCCATGGCGACCTTTCACGATGCTCGATTTTAATCGGTCAATCGTCTCCCCCCAGGCCGCTGGCTAGACTTGGCTGCCGCAGACCTCTCTGCTCGTTTCCACTGTTGAGTAAATCGCTCGTAGGGAAGGGGGGGGGGGGGGAACACGGAGTTTTCTGTGACGAGGAGACGGCGGCGCCGCGGGAAGCGAGCGGTTGAGGAGCCAGGGCTTGCTCGGTAAACTCTGAGGTCACGGAAACTTCCTCGGACGTCTGTTGGCGGACGTGAGCAGATTCACGGAGATGCGTCGTGGTTAACTCGGGCGGTGCGGGCCTTTTGATCCAACCTCAATCGTTATTTTTATAATACATGTTTTCACTCCTGTACACGTGTTTATTAGGTGTATTTAGAAACAGAAGTTTTGTTAATCGGTAAACTTGGGTTCGTTTATATTTTGAAAGAGTTCTCCTACATTGTTGTTGTTATTAGTCATACGGGGTGGCTAATTGGAGAGTGTGCTTATGGAGTAACCCTGCTTTAGCTTTGTTGGAGAGAGAATGCGATGATGGCCTTGGTCGGTGATCACCACTGAAGAGTGCCATGTCTCCCCGTACTGCGTGAGACCAAAATATTCATTCATGTGTTCGGGTGACAAGTGAGAGCAGCTCTTTGCCGTGCAGCTGATAAAATGTTTCCTGCAATGTAAAAACAAACCCAAGATTTGACTGATAACAAAGATCCATCTGGTCCACGTGGTCTGGCGCCATGCTGCACGACTCTCCCTCGTTACCTCCCCGATCTCAATTTCCCACCCTGCCCCCACCTCCCAGATGCCTCCTCGCCCCCCTCCTCCTCATTCTCAATCCCTCACCGTCTACCCCACGCCGCCCCCCCCCCCCCCCGCAGACACCATCCTGGACGAGCGCACCGAGCGGCTTCCGTCGGAGGACACAGAGGAGCAGAGCAAGAGCAGAAGCGGGGCGGCAACGGAAGCGCAACCGCCCTCGCCCAGCCGCAAGGAGAAGGCCTCCTCAAAGCAGAAGCGCTACGTGGTGCGTACGGCACGGAGCCCGTAGCTCTCGACGGCCTCGCTTTTGGTTTTGTTTGTGGCCGGGGGCGAGAGCGCGAGAGAGCGGGGCAAATCTCGGCTGCACGAGTGACCTCGGTCACAAGAGAATGACCGAACTTCGGTGCGCGGGACCGTACGGTACAACGCAACAGGAACGGTGATTGCGAGCCAACGTTGCGCGGCACAACTCTCTGACCCCGATTGCAGTATTTTTTCAGTATTTTTTTTTATTTCTGTCCATCTACTTGTGGGACCACGTTGTCTGTTCGTCCAAAAGGAGTCGCACGGGAACCGATTGTAGGGAATCCCACCGGCACCTTGAGCAAAGTCGTTGATTCCGTGCGTCTGCGTGCGTTGGCAGGTGTATGACATGGAGCTGAGGGAGGAGGTTCTGCTTCCGCACAACAAGAAGGAGAGTCGGCAGATCGCGCAGGAGATGTCTGACCTCGTCATATACTGCCAGGCCGTCAAGTTTCCAGGTGTTATGCACAGCAACAGCGCCGGGTCACCTCCGCTTCGTCGTGAAGGGTCAGCCCGAGGATCGCCTCTCGACGTATCGTTTTATCATATGCAGAAGACGGAGGCACGGACTCATCGCAAGGGGTTTGCTCTCGAATTTTTGTGGGTGAGAGCGGGGCGACAGTGACGTAATTCCTACTTTTTATGGAATTGTATTCGGGTGTTAGCAAATGTACATTTTACACTTTTTCAATCTTTAATAAACCTTGAATAGCAAGTTAGTTTCCTGAGCTTGCTACCAGTTTTGGGAATTCCCAGCTGAGCTATTAAAATTCTCCACATTTAAAACCCCCTTTATTCCGGGCGTGAGTCAAGCATTTTAAACTGTACCATTCCGTAAGCCCTGTTAAGCCACCCCCTTTTCTTACTTCCCGCATTCTAATTAATCCGAACCTTAATTTAAATTTGCTTAACCTGAGCCATCTCCGCCGTGCCCCAAACGGCGGCGGCCGCTCTCGAGGCGTCGCCACGGGGAGCCACCGCTCACGGCCCCCCACCGTCGTTGTCCCCTGGTGTGGCCCCAGGCTTCTCCAGGCCCGGCCCCCCGGGCCCCGCGCGCCTGAAAGCGAAGGCATCGCGCAAGTCGCTGTTTGGTGCGGCCGCGCAGAGGATGAGCACCGGGGAGCAGGACGTGGCGCACGCGCGCACGCACGCCAAGGGTGAGTCAGAACGCACGCACACACATGCACATACACGCACCACGTGCACACGCACCACGTGCACACGCATGTAAAACTAATTTGATTTATAAGGCGCCCTTTAACGACGGATCTCAGAGCGGCATGCAGGTAAAAAAGGAAGGAATGAGTGATACGTAACTGTGGAGAGAGACTAAAGAGACCAGGTCGAGAACCGGAGAGATAGGAGGCCGCCGCGTCAGACAGGTGGTGGAGGTTTTCAGCCGGGACTGAAAAGTCTCCATCTCCTGTGAGTTCCCGACCGTCATGGGAACTCCGGAGCCCGGGCGGCGTGCAGACAGCAGCCCCGTGGCCACCCCAGGGCCGGAGCCCGGGCACCGTGCTCTCGCCGAGTAGGGGGCACGGTGACGCGCTGCAACGCGTGAACGCGCGCACAGTCGCAAAGTTGTCGCGGGATTTCATGCCGGTTCCTTGTTGCGTTACGTCCACGTACGTCCGGCCACGATGGTTCCTGGCACGGTGGGGCGAGCACTCGGCGTCCCGCTCGCGGGCTGAGCGCCGCCGTCTTGCGTTTGTCGCGTGGCAGGCGGCGACGGGACTGGCGGTGACGCGGAGGACCCCGGGGTGGCGCCTCCTCTCTCCGCAAAATCTCTCAGCGCCCTCATCCGCACGCCCAAGTGCTATCACATGTCCTCCATGAACGAGAACGCCGCCAAGCGCCTGTGCCGTCGCTACGGCGCCAAGGTGTGTGCCTCCCGCCACCGAGGAGTCCGGAGCGCGTAGTTACGCAGGACTCCTTTGCTGAAGTAAGTCACGTGACGCGTAGCCCAAGCAGTCCGGGGAGAGCCCCGGTCCTCTCTGTTCAAGCTCTTCACTGGTCAGGATTTTAGTCCTTTGAACCGTTTTACCAAATCGACGGCGCCCCCCCCCACTCCAAGCCCACTAATCCATAACCGCTCGCGGGTAGCCAATCACGCGAGGGGAAGCTTGAATGAGTTGGCCGCTACAGCCCCACGGCTAAGCAATCGACGCAACGTAAAGTAAGTGTACTTATTAATTGTTCGTACTGAAAGTACGAACAATTAATAAGTACACTTACATTGCCCAACTTAATAATCGCTTGCAAGCCTCTCTACCTGTTCATGGTAATGACCCGCGCCGAGCTGCTCGTCGTCATTCCCTTTCCCTGCTGATGTTTACTCTCACCGAGCACGTGCGCGCGACACGGAGCGTTACCGCGTTTGATACGAACTCGCGCCGCTGCGACCCGGTCCCTCCCTCCCTCCCAGGTGCCGCAGCACACCATGTGCCAGCTGCTGCGCACGTATCCTGCCGCCACGAGAATCGAATCCTCGAACCCGCACCCCATGCTCTACTGGCTCCACGGCATCCAGATGGTGGCGCTCAACTACCAGACCGAGGGTGCGTGTCCTGCCTGAGTGGGAAGCCAGGGGCAGAGGAATTGTGATGTAGCCTGGTGCAATGGCTCTTGAACACTAGAAAGAATACAATACATTAGCAGGCAATACCCTGCCTTCACTAATCTGTACTTTCACATTAAAAAAAGATGAACAGATTTATTTATTTTACATCCCTTACACGGCATTCTGGGAGTGCGTAATTTAAGCAGCGTTAGTTCAACACATGAAAAATTTGGACGCCGGTCAGTGTCTCATCAGAAAAATTGGGCTTGCTTACACTATTGAAGGCAACCCGCAGGTGTTTCTGGACAAAGACCCTCTGTGTTAGATGTAGGTCCTCGTTCAACAGAAAACTATAATTATTTTGTGCTACAAAGAATATTTCATAAGACCATTTGCGTGTATGTATTTATGAATGCATGCGTGTGTGTATTAGTGTTTGCATCTTGGAAACCTCCATATAATAATGAATTACACACGTGTGTATAAATATTGCTCAGTTTAACACGTAGGCTTTTGCGACCAATATCATCCATAATATAGGTTAGATCACGTAAATATAAATATGTTCTTAAACCCGCCACCACCCGACACAGCCAATTAGTAAGGTTTGTCACGTAAACAGAACATGCCAATTCGTTTCTAGTACAGCACACCGGTTGTGTGTTGGAGAGCGAATCCACAACATTTACAAATATCGCTCTCTTGTTGTTTCAGACAACAGCATGAATGGCAATCGGTCGACCATTTAGCTAAACAGATCATTATTATCTGAAGGTGTGTGAAATGAAGGCACAGAGGAGCCTTTAATACAAATGCTCGGCACTCCGCACAGCATACGCTAATGTATCTACCATGCAGAGCAGCTAGAGTGCGATGTGTATACGGTATACGTCGCAGAAATATTAACCAACCACCGTATGTTTTACGTGCCGTTATTTAATCATTATATTTATTGCTCCCAACCAGCTTATGTTGCCAAGTCCAATGGTAATTTTCTCGGCTAAAGTTTACACAGCAATGCTTCTCCCAGTGGCCTCACACCACCAGTGAGTAGGCCTCACATTCATGTTGGTGATGTCACACGATGCGAGTGCCTGCGTCACGAGCCACGTCCTTTACCCGTCGTGTAGCCTGTTTGACGTTGTTGTATTCGCGTGCGCGCGTGTGCGTGCGCGTGCCTGTGTGTGTGCGTCTACGTGCGTGCGTGTGAAGACTTACCCATGGCGCTGAACGCGGCCATGTTTGAGCAGAACGGCGGCTGTGGGTTTGTGCTGAAGCCGCCGGTGCTCAGGGACAGGACCTGCCCCCTCCAGAAGACCTTCCGCCCCATGGACCGCGAGATCGAGGGGGTGCAGCCGACCACGTACCACATCACGGTACGCGACCCCCCCCCCCCTCCCGCTCTGCACTGCTCGCTGGCAGAGCCGACGATGCGCGCTCCGAGGACAATTTTCTTCTTCTTCGTACGGCCGATGTCGGTCTAGAGCGGCAGCTTTGACTTTACTTTGCGGTGGTTGAGCCAGAGTAACGGAGTGGTGCATCGCTGGGATGGTGCCTCTTTCGTATTTGTGAATCGAGCGTTGAGCCGTTAGATGTCGGGCGTTGAGTCGGTCGAAGAGCGATGAGCAGGCGACTGCCCGCCGGCTAGCGAGTGACCGGAGCGAATCGGCGAGTGCCGCGTCCGTAAACGTCTCCGATCGGCGTGCGCACGTGCGGTGGTCGCGCGCCGTGCCCGTGCGGACGCGCAGGTGATCTCGGGGCAGTACGTGTGCCCGGGGAACACGGCGGGCAGCCCCCACGTGGAGCTCGAGTTGGCGGGCATGCCGCTGGACACGTGCCACGCGGGCCACCTGCGCACCAAGACCGTGGCCCGCAACGCGCTCAACCCCCTGTGGGGCGAGACCTTCACGCTGCCCGTGCACCTGGAGGCGATGGCCTTCCTCCGCCTGTCCGTCGTGGACGGCGGCGGCGGCGGCGGCGTCACCGCGCAGCGGATGGTGCCGCTGGCCTCGCTGCGCACAGGTAGAGCACCCGGCGCACCGGCGGCACCGGCGGCACGCGCGGCGTCGGGGACACCTTCTTATCCCGCGTGTCCTGCGTGAATTCCCACGCTGCTGCGTGTGTGCGTGTGTGCGCGTGCGTGCGCGCGTCTTGCAGGCTACCGCCACTTGCGGTTGCGTAACGTCCATAACGAGGCGCTGCCCATCTCCAGCCTCTTCCTGTGCGTTCGCCGAGAGGAGGCCCCCCTCGGGGGGGAGAACACCCCCGCCTCCAGGGTGATGGCATGCACCAGCACGACGCGCGGCACACCTCGGCACAGCACGCCGGCACAGTACAGCAGTACAACACAAGGGCACAATGCACCAACGCAACGCACCAACACAACACACCAACGCAACGCACCAACGCAATTTGACCACTGCACACAAGCAAAATATTTCAATTGTGTAGCTTGTCCGTGTAGCTTGTGGTCAGGTGACACACTCGGTAGATCGGCCGCTGGTGGGCAAGTACCACCACTGCTCTCCACTCTAGCCGCACCGCACCGCGTACCGATGAGTGAGCGCTGCGGCTCGCCCGCTCGTGCAGGTGTTTGGAACGGAGGAGGAGTGGCGCCGCGGTCGGCACCGTCTCACGGTGTGGGGCGCCCCGGGGCCGTGGCCCTTCTCCGTGCTCTCGGTTCCCGAGGACACCACTGCTCTGCAGCTCATCGCCCTGGTAGGAGCACCAGCTGCACCAGCTGCACCAGCTGCACCAGCTGCACCAGCTGCACCAGCAGCAAGTCAATAATATGCACGCTGCCCAGTCGGCTCGATACATTTCCAGATGGACTTTCCTCAATCGAGTGTCTGGTGCCTTGACACGGTTGCGTTAAACGCACCACATTTTTACATATACGCACATAAATCTTGTTCGGTTTCTATAAATTACATATGACGTTTCAGTAGAATACACGAAGGGCCTGCATTTATTAAAAGACAAACTGATGAGCAGTCCGTTACAGAGGTGGCCGACGTAGCCGCTCGACGCGCATCGAACAAAGATGGCGGTCACCGCGTCGCGCGGCGCTTTCAGATGCGCTTCTGCAGCCGTCTCGAGCGCTTTTCATTCCGCTATTAGGAAGCCACTGGAACTATGAACTTTTAAATCTAGAAATGAGTTTTGTGTTTAGTTTGCTGTCCTGCCCCCACACCACCGATTAGCACGGTTGGTTACGTACGGTGCGAAAGAAGTTCAACGCACATACAAATTTAGTTGTTTTTCGTCTAAACTCGAATTAACTGTTCTTGCTGCTCACGGCCAACATACACACTCCGATTCCCAGGCCTTGCAGCAGTCGGAGGCCTCGGACGCGCGGCCCCCATCCCCCGAGAGCACGCGGGGCGCCTGCGCCTGGGCGCTGGTGGAGGAGTCGCTTCCCGTGTGGCGGGAGAGGGGCGAGGGAGCGGCGTCAAAGGGGGGCGGCGACGGGGACGCGCGGCCGTGCGACGGGGCCGGCCCCCAGGCCGACGAGCGCGGATCGCCGGGGGAGGGCGCCGCCCGGCCGGCGAAGGCCGAGGGGCGGTGCCAGCGACGCGCGCTCAACTCCGAGGAGCTGGTGCTGCCGCTCGTGCGAGCGTGGGCCACGCGCGAGGGTCGCACGGCACGGCTCGTCATGGAGGTGGGCTCCGGAGGGACGGTGCGCGCCGTGAGGTGTACGCAGGGTTTCCAGCATTCCCGTTGCGTCGACAAACGAAAAATGTGCGCGCGATGTTGGGGAGGAACATAGAAGAGTTATGATGATCACGACAATAATAATGATCATTCGGTTTGTAAGCCGCCACCGCGTAGTATTCGCTCGCTCTCGTAGAGAGAGATGGACTCGGAGGCGTGAAGAGGAAGCAAAGCTGAGCTGGAAGGCAGCCACGTGGTGAGCAGGCACCAATTGCGCATGCTCTGCGGTCCTCTGTATATTGAGGCATTATCAGCCAATGAATGAGTGTTTACACACGTGGGATGAAAGCAGAGGAGCCAGAGGAAACGCACACGTGCGAGGGGGAAACACTCTATCACCTACAGACGGAACAGGTGGAGCCAGAGTATGGTACCTCGCAACATTCGTGCGATTGACCAACCCCCACCTCTATGGCTGGATTGCAGGCATGCGTATCCACCGCTGCCGGGCTAATGCCACCTTTAGACCACCATGTAGAAGAAGTGTTAGCATGGTAATGTGGCCCATCTCAATTCTCTGACTTTGTGATTTAAACCACAAAATGGTCCCAAATTTATTTACATTGAGCTGGCGTTGTACAGGCGCTGTACGCGCCTTGCTGTGTTGTTAAATCCACAAGTGGGCATAGCTCAAATTCAGAGTATCCAAATGGATTTTCACATTTGGCTTTAAGTTTTGCTTCACAAAACTCCTACTTCATGTCCTTATCTCCACCGCCCAACTCGCGTTATATTACCGCTTTTACCAAACCTGTGCGTGAAGAGCGTACGCCATAGGATGTGTTATATAACCGTGAAGCCACGGTTATATAACACAAGGGACCTGGAACAACACTTTCCTTGAGCTCTGGGTGTATTTGTTTTACGGCTGAGACGGAGACAGTAGCGTTACAAAGATGCCTTTGTGGGCTCGCGTGTGCTCTATCTCAGTTACTTTGTGTGTTTGGACACGTCCCAGTCATGTCAGTTTGGTGTCTTAACTGTTTGGATGGCTCCCAGCAAAGGTGGCCTGTGTGCTGGGTTGAGTGTGTGCATGGGTGTGCCTCGTTAAAGCTGCATTGAGTGTGTGTATGTTGAGTGAGTGAGGGTTGAGTAAGTGAGTGTGGGTTGAGTGAGTGAGTGTGCATGTGAGCATGTGTGTGTGGGTTGAGTGAGTGTGTGGGTTGAGTGAGTGAGTGAGCGTGCGTGGGCTGCGTTGTGCTCTCTGCAGAGGCGCGACGAACCAGGTGGTGAGCGTGAGTGGAACAGCAGCACCTTCCTGGTGCGTGTGCACGACATCCTGCCCGAGCAGCCGCACACCATCATCCGCGCCGAATGCGCCAGCACCGCGCAGGACATTATCACCCAGGTGGACACATGCTGCTTTCTTTCGTCCGTTTTCGTGAGCTGATTTTTGTTTGTTTGTTTGGCCTGAGCGGCGGCGGCGGTGGCGGCGGCGGTGGTGGTGGCTGCTGTTGTTGTCCAGCGCCGCGTAGCCAGCAGCAAGGGTTGGTGGATCACCGCACAAATGTTGTGAAACTCCCTTCCCGTGGGCGTCGAGGTGCCGTACCCCGGCTGGCCAGGAGAAAGCAGTACAGCAAGTGGAATAATTGTCACGTGTTTACATCTGGACGGGGATAATGCGTTTCCCGTTAGCATGCATGAGTCTTCTGTATTTGCATTCTTTCTACAAATCAAACGTTGTATAATGAAATGTACATTATAATATTCTCCTGCTGTTTGCCTCTCTCTGAACTCTGGGTCTCCCTATGGCAACGCTGGCTACGTGATATGAGCCAAGCTTGTCACTCATGGAAGTGCTGACTAAATAATTAACAAGTGCTATTTTTAAACATTGCAATGCGTGTCCAAAAAGAGATGTGTAACGAGCCAGTGAGCATGTTTGCTCTGACGTCTGATCAGACGTGTTGTCATGTGTCTAATTGCTTGTGCTCCTGTACATATTTACTACACGTGCACTCCTACCTAAGTACCTGAGTAAACCCAACTGTTTCCTGCCAGAAAATCGTGACTAACAAACGTAGTCTTAGCGCGCGCCAAGTGCGGTGCAAGCGCCGTATCGGCATCACAACACTCATTCGTGAAGTTGGCCAAACATCCCAATGTAGGACCACAGAGCTTGGGAAATGTGTTGGTGCCAGTTCTGGCTGCACTTCCCACTTGTCTGTTAAAATTAAAACATGTTTACATTCGTCAAATGGTGAACGATAGCTGCTTCAGACACGTGCCCTGCTCATCGATGTTGTCCCCCGCGCCTCCGTTCTCACTGCAGACTCTGAGCAAGGCCAAGTACTCGATGACGTCGCTGAGGAAGAGCGACCCGGCCGACTACGTGCTGGTGGAAGAGCTGAAAGACCCCAAGCGTGTGTCCCCGGGGAGGCCGCTGCACCGCGTGCTGGCCGACGATGAGAACGTCTGCGCCGCCCTGAGTCGCCAGCTGGAGCCCACGCGGCTGCTGCTCAAACTGCGCGAGCAAGTGCAGGTAACGAGCAGGTGCAGGTAACGAGCAGGCGGGGGTAACGAGCAGGCGGGGGTAACGAGCAGGCGGGGGTAACGAGCAGGCGGGGCTAACGAGCAGGCGGGGCTAACGAGCAGGCGGGGCTAACGAGCAGGCGGGGCTAACGAGCAGGCGGGGCTAACGAGCAGGCGGGGCTAACGAGCAGGCGGGTCAGCGAACGTGCCAAGTGATGAGTTGGTTTATCAGCAAAACCGAGAAACTGGCCATCCCAACCAGCGGCAGCAAAACTAAGATGCAGTCTCTCAACTCTTTGAGTTGGTGGTCTCAACGATTGGCATGTTTGGCAACGTGTACAACACGCGTACATACCAAAAGGGCCACACGTTCAGTTATTTTCAGCTGGTGGTTTGGATAAGGATTTTGTCCACGTGTCGAGGCATTAATCGGCAATCCCCACCCTGTTAGCGGGTAGCTCCCCCTTCTCGTCAACAGGGGGCGGAAGCGCTATCACGCCACTGTTAATGACTATGGCCCAAGGGGCCAACGACAATCCCTGGGAAGCGGATCCTGAGACACATTCCCCGGACCCCGGGAGGGGGGACTGGGGGATGATGTCACCTTCCAGAAAGTTCTGGATGGGAGGCGTGGCTAGGGCGGAGCAAGCCACGAACCGGAATATAAGCCGGACCTCTCAAGGGTCCGGCTCAGTCATCTCCAAGCCGAAGACTGAAGACCTGGGCTGACGTTAGGACCCTGGACCCCAAGTTACGCCGTCCTTCTAAGGGCCGGAGCTTAGTGAGGCCAGTGGTCAGGACCCGAAGACCCTGGCACGGTCGGGTCAGCGTAGCCTCCCCTAGGGCCCCCAGCCGGAGGACGGGAAGTTAACGGGGTTCCCAGTGTTAGGGCCGTGTAGTCCAGAGGCCATACCTCCCCAGGTATCGGGTGAAGGGGCCGTGACCCCTTTGTGTTAGGGACCTCGTACAATAGAGTGTTGCACGTGTGTGTTATGATAAATCTGTTGTTTCCAGCTAGCATTATATTTTGCCGTTTCGCTCGGTGTTCTCGTGATGTACAGATTTGCTGCCGGTGTTTGTCACAGACTGTCCTGGACAGGCAGAATTGCCCCACGGAGGAGGTGAAGCTCCGGGTGAGACGCTCCCCTGGCCGGGCCCCGCTCATCGCGGGCCGTTCCGTGCAGGCCCCGCCGACGGACGGCGCGGCCGCGCAGATTTCTCACGCGGACGGCCGCTCTTGACGACCTCCCCTCGGCGGGGACGGAGCGCCGCTCCCTCTGGGTGCCGCCCTGCCCCCAGCGCGGCACGTGAAGAAGCTGGATACCCGCCGTCCGCCTGTAGATGCAATATTGGAGAGATAAACTTTTAATTGTTTTTTAAATGGACGTTCGGTGAGCGCCTTTCCGTTTCCAGCAACGTGGTTGTGGTCGCAATCCTGCGGGCGCCGTCAAGCGCGAAAGGAGGGACGAGTTTTGAATAAGCACTTCCATAAGCACTTCGCGTACGGGGATCGCCCTCCAGGGTCCTCGGTGGGATCCCAACGCAGACGATGGCACGCGATGCGCTCTGCCGGACCTGCGCGCCTGGCATCCACCAGGTGTTGTTCACGGCGGGCGGGGGCGCCGGTCACCGCCCCCGCCGCTGCAGTCGCTGGAAACGTCGCCACGCTGTGGAAGAGCCCTGGGCCGGTTACCGTGTGGCCCAAGCCACTGGGGGGAGACCTACCCTCTCATTGCGCCTCTTGTCTCTTGCCCAAAGGAGACTGCTGCACCCCCCCCCCCTCTATATTTTCTGCACTGAGCAAGTTTCACTGCACTACGTGGGATGGGCAGGCGCCCAATGTGAGCACGCCCGTTGCTGCCAGGTTTGCTGTACAGATGTTTTTTATTGTGAATATTGTGGACGCTAGGAGTTCTCAAACGCGCTGAGCCAAATCAACACGAAGCAGCCACTCCTCGTATTGGGGCCCTTCAGGTTTTTACCACACGCACACGTGGACAAGTCGTGCACGTGGACAAGTCGCGCACGTGGACAAGTCGCGCACGGCGAGCTTCTGACGTATCCGTCGCCTTGCCGCCTCGGACGGCCACGCTGACGCTGAATGGATGACACTTCACGGGACGCTGTGCTCCTGCAGCCCGCCTCGCCGTACACTGCCAAATTTGCACTTCTTCCTCCTCATTTATATTCTTCTCTTTCACCCCCTCCCCCAGCCTCCCTACCTTCTTATTCATCTGTCACGCACGCTTTGCTTTCCAGCCGTGGTTTTCGCTGTCTGGCGCCCTTTGTATTCTCCTGTTTGCTTTCAGCTCCCTGTCCCCTGATGCCACTTCCGATACCTTTTCGACCATTTCCCTTCACGTGTATTGCGCTTGCTGTAGATACCGATGTCATAGATGCCTTTGTATGTTAATTAAACAGTGTATTTTATATATTTTATTTAGATAGTTTTAATATGCGTATGTGTCCGTCTGAGTCGGATATTAATAAATACCAAAATATTACGATTCTGTCTCCATAATTCTTTGTGAGCTCAAGGTGGGGGTGGGTGGCTGGGGCTCGCCGTGCTGCCGAGTTTATATTTGTCTGAGAGCTGCCTCGCACTCGCTTTACCAGCGTGCTGCCTACCGTGGTGGAGTATCATCAAGTATCCCACAGCACGTAGGGAAACCTACATCCAGCGGTGGATTAACAAAAGGGCTGTACACGTATCTTAAATAAGCAGACCCTGTTTGGTTATTTTGAGTTATGCATGAGTAATTTTTCGTCCGACAGACCATTTGGTAAAAATAGGGTTGTCATCTGTAACATCAGCAGCTCAACAGCATTGATTATAGACAAGCAAGCTGTCTCGACCAGTTTCTTCAACGTGCAGTGTCTCATCGTCTTTTAAAAATGCGCTCCCAGAAGGCCGTGCAACTGATTTAAGAAATGCTTAAAACATTGTTTTCACGTGCAAAGGCACTTTGGCTGAATTATAGCTTTGAGATTTATAATGATCGGTTTGTGATGCAATGGACATTTGCGTCAGCCGCAGGGCGGGGTGCTGACCATCCATGCTCAGAGCAACGCGAGAGTGGCAGCGCCCCCACCAATCTGCTGCTCTCACCGCGAGCCAACGCCTCGCCCGACCGCTCCTGTCCGCTCGCCGTGCAGGCACTGGGCACCAAGAGGCCGAACGACGTCGCGGTGGCCGCGGCGGACAGGGCCTTGCGTTCGTCTCCCTTGGGAATGAGGGCGCAGCAATGGCACGTGGCCGCCTTCGTCATGAAACTTGGAGGCCGTGCAGCCGGCAGGACTGCCTGAACGCGAGGCCACTTAAAACACACACACCGCTTTATTATTGAGTGCAAGACAACCCGTGTCCCTGTTTAGTTTCATTTGTTTTAGTTTCATTGTTCTACAGATTTTATGTAACAGACTTCTGCAACTCAGGAGTTTGTGGCAGGTTAAGTCCCTGCTATTGAGGTGGTGGCTGGGCCCACCAATGCTGATTGTGACGTTTTCACACCAAAACAAACCTTCCCACAATGCAATATATCGGCGACATTTGTATGTGTTTATTTAGTAATACTATTTGATTGTTGAATAGTTTGTCTTAATGAATACGTTACTATTTGGTAACTATTCATATTCCTAATTAAAAACTGGCGTCAGAATTTATTTTTAAATTTTCATTCATATCCACCCTTTCGATACTATAAAAAAGGATAATTGCCTGAACCGTCGCCAATTATGTTTCTTTTAAGGCAGCGTTCTTGCCGAATGTGTTGCGTTTATTCGTGTTGATAAGAATTCACTTGAGATGTCAGAAGTGGTTCTGTGATATCTGCTTCCAAGCACTACTTGTTTGCTCCCGCAAACGACCATTTGGAGGTGGGAAGCCCCAAAAACTTAATTATTAGAAATAAAATGACATGATGGAAAATTGCAATGGATGCAGACAACTCAATATAGAGTGCTGCTGGAAATCATCGTCTTGGAGGACAATTGATTAATTTGTTAAAACGTGCGCGTGTAATTTGGCAGGAAAACAGCCACGTCCCAGGAATTACCGTGATCAGCAGATGTGTCAACGTCTCGGAGGACCGTACAGAGTAATTGTATTGCATGCGGCGCTTTGTATCGCCTCAATTGTTTCATGATGATAACATAACCAACAACAACGACGGTAAGAATACTACTACCACATGACACTTGTAATGAGCGACCAGCATGGGCGTGGGTAGGGGCGGGGAGACATCGAACATCGTCTGCTGGGCGAGGCTGGGCGAGCGGAGGAGTTGCGGGGTCGGGAGGGAGCGACGTTGGGCTGGCCGGGGGTGGTGGGGGTTGTGGTAGCAGCTCCACGCTGCCATTATCCGGCGTGCTCGCGTCACTGCGATTGTGGTGGAGGTGGAGGAGGCGGAGGAGGAGGCGGAGGAGGCGGAGGAGGAGGAAGTAGTGGAGGCGGAGGAGGAGGAGGCAGTAGTGGAGGAGGAGGCAGTAGTGGAGGCGGAGGCAGTAGTGGAGGCGGAGGAGGAGGCTGTAGTGGAGGCGGAGGAGGAGGAGGCAGTAGTGGAGGCGGAGGAGGAGGAGGCAGTAGTGGAGGCTGAGGAGGAGGTGGCGTGCCGACTCAGCGCCCCCGTGAGTGGCCGAGCGCACGGAGACTCGGAGCCGGGGAGAATCCCGCGGGGCGGAGCTCCGGAAAAAAGCGGAGGAGAGACTCTGAGAGCGGGAGGAGCGGGGAGGTGGAGAGGATCTCAGAGTCGCTGTGCAGGAGAAGAGGTGAAGGCGTGGAGAGGACGGGCGTGGTGGCATCACCCAGCACCCATGGCGCACAGGGCCATCTCGGACGTGAGGGTGCAGGACTTCCAGAAGCGCAGGGCGCCGAGCAAACACTACGTGAGCACTTCTCACCACACACACACACTACCCACACACACTACACACACTACACACACACACTACACACACTACCCACACACACTACCCACACACACTACACATACCACCCACACACTACCCACACCACCCACACACCACCCACACACTACCCACACACTACCCACACACACTACACACACACTACACACACACCACACACACTACACACACACCACACACACACACACTACACACACACCACACACACCACCCACACACTACCCACACACACACTACACACACACTACACACACTATACACACACCACACACACACTACCCACACACACTACACACACAGTACATACACACACTACATACATACACACATACACACACTACACACACTACATACACACACTACACACACTACCCACACACACTACACACACCACACACTACACACACACACTATACACACACTACACACACCACCCACACACACCACACTACACACACCACACCACACACACAGTACATATACTACACACACCACACTACACACACCACACACACAGTACATACACTACACACACCACACTACACACACCACACACACAGTACATACACTACACACACCACACACTACATACACCACCTACACACACACTACACACACCACCTACACACTACACACACTACACACACCACCTACACACTACACACACACACCACCCACACACACTACACACACACACTACCCACACACACTACCCACACACCACACACACACTACACACACCCCACACACACACTACACACACCACCCACACACACTACACATACCACCCACACACTACCCACACATACTACACACACCACCCACACACACTACACACACACACTACACACACACGCTACACACACCACCCACACACTACCCACACACACTACACACACACACTAGCCACACACACTACACTACACACACTACACACACCACACACACACCACACACTACACACACACTACACACACACTACACACACACTACCCACACACACCACCCACACACACCACCCACACACACCACCCACACACTCTACACACACACTACACACACTACACTACACACACCACCCACACACTACACTACACACACAACACAACACTACACACACTACACTACACACACTATATACACCACACTACACACACACTAGACACACAGTACATACACACTACATACACACACAGTACATACACACACTACACACACACACCACACTACATACACACTACACACACACCACACACACAGTCGACATCTGGGATGGACACACGGGGAAGGAGGGATTCGCGGTTCCAGTGCACGGCTCTAACAAAGCAAACCTCGCAAGCAGTGTGTGCGTGGGGTTTGTGTGTGTGTAGTGTGTGTAGTGTGTGTGCGTGGGGGTTGTGTGTGTGTAGTGTGTGTGGTGTGTGTAGTGTGTAGTGTGTGCGTGGGGGTTGTGTGTGTCTAGTGTGTGTGGTGTGTGTAGTGTGTGTAGTGTAGTGTGTGTGCGTGGGGGTTTTGTATGTGTGTGGTGTGTGTAGTGTAGTGTGTGTGCGTGGGGGTTTTGTATGTGTGTAGTGTGTGTGGTGTGTGTAGTGTAGTGTGTGTGCGTGGGGGTTGTGTAGTGTGTGTGTGGCGATTGTGCGTGTGTAGTGTGTGTGGTGTGTGTATTGTAGTGTGTGTGTGGTATGTGTGTGTGGTGTGTGTAGTGTGTGTGTGCGTGGCGGTAGTGTGTGTGTAGTGTGTGTGTGTGCGTGGCGGTAGTGTGTGTGTAGTGTGTGTGTGTGCGTGGCGGTTGTGCGTGTGTAGTGTGTGTGTGTAGTGTGTGTGGTGTGTAGTGTGCGTGGCGGTTGTGTGTAGTGTGTGTGTGGTGTGTGTGTAGCGTGTGTGTAGTGTGTGTATCGTGTGTGGTGTGTGTGTGTAGTATGTGGTGTGTGTGCAAAGAGCGCGCGAGTGTGTAGACACGGGCTGTAGACACCCAGACTTAGCTGCTGTAGCTCTACACTCGCTTCACGCTGTGTAGCGGCAGCAGCAGCAGCAGCAGAGGCAGTGGTGCTCTCTTTGTGAAGAATGCCGAGTTGAGAAACTTTGACACCGCGGGGCAGGAGAGGGAGAGCGGTGGTGGGGTAGGAGAGAGAGAGTTGTGGTGAGGGAGGAGAGAGAGAGTGGTTGTGGTTGTGGTGATGGGGCAGGAGAGAGAGAGTGGTGGTGGTGCAGGAGAGAGTGCTGGTGGTGCTGGGGCAGGAGAGAAAGTGGTGGTTGTGGTGCAGGAGAGAGTGGTGGTGGTGGTTGTGTTGGGGCAGGAGAGAGAGTGGTGGTGGTGGTTGTGTTGGGGCAGGAGAGAGAGTGGTGGTGGTGGTTGTGTTGGGGCAGGAGAGAGAGTGGTGGTGGTGGTTGTGGTGCAGGGGAGTGGTGGCGATGGTTGTGGCCGGAGTGGATTAATCCCAGAGAAGGATGTTGGATTGTTGTGTTGAACCAACAACGCTCCTGATACAAATGCAGAATCATTATTTAGACAGCAGGAGGAATCCAATGTGCTATGAAGCTCTTTTTCACAGATGCCCAGCAAGATGCACTGTATTCTTCACGTGCACACGTGGCTAGGGAAATGAGGTGGGTGTTGCCTGCTCATGATGGTGGGGCTGTATTCTCCACGTGCACATGTGGCTAGGGCAATGAGGTGGGTGTTGCCTGCTCATGATGGCGCTGCTGTATTCTGCGCCACGACACCGATGGCTGTGCTCACGTGGAGTGTTGTTCTGTGTCAAACTGGGGACCCATAGCCAACACAGAGCGGGGCCTGTGCTGATAAAACGTTCGTCGCCAGCATTGGTTCAAGACAAGGCAACTCTGGGACCGGTTTCGACTTTCAGTGTCTCATCAGCAGAGCCAGGCCTGTGTTGTGTCCGTGGCGTTCCGGGCGTGCGCTGTGCATGCCTCTGAAAGCTGCTGTAACTTTCTGCTGAAATGTTTAATATTTTATGTAAGCCATCTCATCAACGTCATTTATTTGTCCGGGGAAGCTTTCGTTTAAACTCGGAGGCAGAGTTCTGCTTTGGGAAGTGTGGCTACTACATTATTAAAGAGCGTATTGCCCGTGAGAGGAAGTGTGGGAACCACACACACCACGAGGGGCTATCACTCAAGAGCGCCACACAGATGGGTTCACGAAACCCACTCTCCAGCCTACGCGGATCTGCGAGTTGCACAATCCGGCGAGACTTACGGAGCCTTTGTCTGCGTGCTGCTAGCCAAGTTCAGAGTTGGGGGGTGGGGGGCAGAACATCGGCGGTGTCACTTCGGGGAGTGTCGCTGCCTCTCATGACTGGCTGCATGACTCCCTTCAACCCCAATTCATCTCCGGGTGTAACGCGATTTGATACGAGGAGCGATTCTGTTCGTCTTGCCGAGCAGTTTCTGTTTGGCCGGATAGATGTAGCTAAATGGGCGCGGCACGGGCTGGAGAAGAGATGGGCTGACAGGAGGACGTTGAGCTGAATGGACTTGCAGATGACTGGTACCAGCGGTGCCGATGACTGGTACCAGTGGTGCCGATGACTGGTACCAGCGGTGCCGATGACTGGTACCAGCGGTGTCGAGATCGGCCTCTGTGGAGGAGGCTCGTGAAGGACGCTGCTGCTGAGCAGTTGGAGGCAGTCGCCCTCCAACAACAACGGAGGGCGGAGGAGCGAAGCTCACAACAACGAGCAGAGCTCCGGGTGGATAAAATACATCAATTTGCTACAGAGGGGAAGCACAATATCTTGAATGCTACACGTTGGACAGTAAATGGCGAACAGGGTGACGTGGGTTGACGTACGCACACACAAACACGCACACACACGCACACACACGCACGTACACACACGTACGCACACACACGTACGCACGCACACACACGTACGCACACACACACGTACACACACGTACGGCTGCATTGCTGGTTGAAGCGAGGGTGGCAGCTTGGGTGCAGAGTGAGAAGGAGGAAGACGAGATTACAAAGTCGCCCTGCTAAGTCGCCAATGTCCTTTACACTGCTCGTGAAATACCCAACGCGTTTTTACATTTCCAGATTTTAGTTTCAACACTGAGTGAAAGGAAGGTGGAGATGATGTCCGGAGTGAGGGAGGGGAGATGGAGTGGCACGGAGGGAGATGAGGGAAATGGGATATTGCCGGTTTGGGAATGGTGGCTGTGGTGTTAAAGTACCCGGTGAGGAAATGGGATCTGGGGAAATGGAATGGAAGGAGGGGGGGGAGAGAAATTGCAGGAGATTTGAGGAATGGCAGCGAATGAAGTGCTGGGATTGTGGATGAGGAATATCGGGGAGGAAGGTGCGGAGCTGAGAGGGGGTGGGGACTGAGAGGATGATGAGGTGAATGGAAGAAGTTGATGATTGAAGAGGGGAACAAGACGTGGAGGAGTGTAGTGCAGGGATGGAGTGGAGTCGAGGAGTGGGTGGGGTTGGGTAGGAGAGGAAACCGAGGTCTTGGATGTTAACTTTCACAGCTAATAACAGCGCCTGATTGTGTCGAGGAGGAAATCTCTATCTACAGGGAGACGTGGAATCTTTGGTGCCGAGTGGGCGGCGGGGGTTTAAATGCTGTAAAAAAAGCACCCAGCTTTTGAATGTGAGCAATGTAAACATTTCCAATGCCCATCCAGGCTCAGAGCAAACCTCGTGTGGATCGCAACATGCGGGAGAGGCAACGTCAGTGTTGGCGTGGACGTGATATTCACCGCGACAGGAGATGTCAGAAAATACGAACAGTGGGTGCTTGAGTGATCATTATTATATATGTGCCAACGTTTGGTCAGCGTTTAAAATTGCTTTGAAGACAAATGAGTTTGCCATCCCATATAATTCTCTGCTTGCGGCATTAAGAGTCAAGCGTACAGTGTGTGCATTAATATTATGAACGTACTAAATCCTTTGTCTTATTTCGTATTGCATTGTTTTTTTT